CGCTGTTGCAGTCAGGCAAATCCTTGTAAAACAGCGGATGTCAAAAGTTGGAAAATCTCGATCTACAAAGTGAACGTAAAACTCTGTTTTCCATTTTTTCGCCCGATAAGAAAGACATTTAACAAAGTATTTTTACTCAGTTAGATGCAGCCGTCCTTGCTCTTTCTTATGAGCACCTCACATTCCCAAAAAAACGTTTTCTCAAGGGCCCAGTTTTATTTTTATCTCGATCTACAAGTTGTTTGTAAAACAATTTTCGCCATAGACGAGCATAAACAATAAAACAAAACACAGTTTGATAGAGCATTAAATACTCTACAAAACGTACTATTTGTTTTTTGCTTTTCGTTCCTTGTTTTGTTAGAAAAACTTACTTTTCTCTCAATAACTCATCTAAGAAACACGTTTTTTTCGACTTTTGCTGGGTTTATCTCGATGAGTTGTTGAGATATCGAGTTTAGATTTTCTGTGGTAGTGAAGCAAGCAAACAGCGATAAAACAAAAAAAAGAATTTCGAAATCCGTTTTCAGAAACCGAAGTAATTTTAAAAATACGACAAAAACTCAATTGTACAATAAAGTTCCAAATGACTCATATAAACATAATTCAACGTTGAGAGTCGAAATCGGGTGTAACTGTGAATAAGTATTTAACGTATGTAAAAATATCCTTTTTAAATAGTGGATTATGTTACTTCCATTATAATATTGCTTTATTTTTCAATTGAAGGCAAAAACGAAGAAAATGAAATTGAACGTCTTTTTTCACAACGTCAAAAATTACAAGAAAAGCACTCAAAATTTGATTATGTTTAGATTATAAAATTTCTGATGCAATACAATCAGAAAATCTCATCGTCTAAAAAAAAATCTTATCTGTATAAATATTTTATGATCTTTCGCATATTGAGTTTAATAAACTAAAAAACAGAAAAGAAAAGGAGTACAATATAAAATAAAAAAACGCGGCCAAAAAGAAAAACGAATGATTGTCTAGTAAATAAACAAATGTGAAGCGGAAAATTTGTCATGTTGAGTATAAAGAAACAGAACAATAGAACATTAGTTAAGGAAAAGCGAGCATTATCTAGCATTTCACTAAAAATCGTGTAGTATTAGAAAAATAGATAAACGAAAAACAAAAAAGAAAAAGGTTATATGTTTCATATAATTACATAATTTTACATAATTTACTTTTTCAAGAAAACAAATTTAGTTTAGTGCCTGTGCACAAGTTTTTAATAATGTTATTAAGAAAACAAACAAGGCTTTACAAAATACTTAAACTTGACGAATAAACAGTCAAAAGAATGAGAAATTGTACGTAACCTTATTAAGACCGAAATGGATAATATCAAGATTTAGTAAATATCCGTGGAAAATACAACTATTTACAAATTAGAAGATATATTTAGCACCGGAAACTTAGCTTTATAATGGTACGTACAAAAAATCAAGAAAGAACGTTGAATAGCATTCAATAACTGATTGAGTGACGGATTTTTTTGTAAGATTCACTGTTGTATTAGCATCATTATTATTATCATAAGACAAGAACCTATCGATTAAAACGTTTCATCCGGATCCGCATCGTCGCAGACATGATCAAATTCTTCACATTTTGCACAATATAAACGGTCGACTTTTGAAGATCTTGCACTATTACTATTATTAGTATGATTTTGATGCTCTTCTGTGATTGAGCTTTGTTTGGGACAATCATCTTAAAAGAGAACAATGTTCTGTTATAGAAAATATTTTCCAAATGTCCCGACGGAAAAATGCAATAAAGTAACGGATGGAACAGAATAAAACGGACTATTTTGTTTCCTCTAGAACTCCGTCAGTTTAAATCTGATCGGGTCAATTTTTTCCTATCAGAATCGTCATTCAATTCTCCACAAAACCATGTGTAAAAGATTTTTGTAAACTACAAAATGGCTAAGTTCTAAAACGAAGAAAAGAGGTCCAAAAATCTTCAACTTTCCAGCTCAAAATGCATTAGCAGTTAGAGTATGTTTCGACAATTTATACGCAGGCTTAAATTAAGGGAGAAACATTTGTTGGCATTTTCAAATACGCTCTTTTCGATATCTTTGAAAAGATTTTGTTTGAAAGTGGCCTTCGCCTATTAAATTGATATTTTCCGAAAATTCGTCCAAAACGCCGTAACTTGGGTTTTCACGAAAACCTACCGCAAACAAAACTTTGCATGACTCGAACGAGTGTACAGGAATGTAGTCGAGTGTACTAGCTTTCAAAGAAAAAAAAATCGTCAAAAAGTAACGCTTTTTTACTGAATGGCATGTGTTTTCGTAGAGTTGTAGAGTTTTTTCAAAAAAGTGAAAAAATTTTATGCTAAATTTTTTACTCATTTTTTGATCAAAAAAATTCTCAAAGATATGAATCTTGGCCAGAATTTGATGCTCTTTAACATGGTCGACTTAGTTTTTTCGTAGCTCTCCACGTGAAAAGCAAATTTTAGAAAAAAACAGGGTTTTGTGCTTGAAAGTTGAAGATTTTCGGATCTCTTTTCTTCGTTTTAGAACTTAGCCATTTTGTAGTTTACAAAAATCTTTTATACATGGTTTTGTGGGGAATTGAATGACGATTCTGATGGGGAAAAAATTGGCCCGATCAGATTTAAACTGACGAAGTTCTAGAGGAAACAAAATAGTCCGTTTTATTCTGCGCCAATCATTAGAAGACTAATAAACCATATTCACATTCTAATGAGAATATCACATTTCAGTACTATTATTTTGCGTTCTATTTATACAATATACACAGTCTGTACGATCCGATGTGAATATGGCTCATTATAAGTAGAGATGTTAGGTAATTTGAATCTAAATAGTATATGGTAGAAAGAAAAGTTGATCGAAAAACTGATATAGTGACATGCGCTAGTGACGCGATATATTTCTCTAATTACAAATCTTTATTTATAGTGACAAATCACTATTCATTTCTTACCTGTATCGTGTTGATCAAAAACTTCACACATGTCACAATAGAGTCTTGGCAACAATGTTTTTGTTTTAAATCCGTCAATATTTTCATCTCTATTTCCGATAGTCTCATTACTGGTTACAAACGGATTTTTTGCGAATATTAAATCTTTCTTTAATTTTTCATTTTCATTACGTAAATCACTGATAACAGAATTTGAAAATTCAATCTGTTTTTCTAAATCAATTGAACTATCTTTTGTTTTCAATTGTCCTTGTAATTTGTCTATTTGATATTTTGCTTCATTTAATTCATATTCAAGTTGTTTTATATTAGATGTATTCGAACTTTTACCACCACCGCTACCTTGAAAAAGAGAAAAAATTATTATTTTTATTTTATATAGATTTGTGAATAGTGAAGAAATTTTACTTGTTAATATTTCGAGTACTCTATCATCTTACCTGCTTGTAATAATTGTTGAATTTGTGTTTTTAATTTAATTTTTTCTTGATCATGTTCTAATATCAAATTTTCTTGTTCAACAGAATATTCACTTTTCAATAATTTTTGATTTGTTTCATATTCAATTAATTTTTCTTTTAATACCTTATCTAAATGTTGTTTTTCTTCTTGTCTAATTTTTTCAATTGATTCTTGAATTGTTTTATATTTATCTTCTAATTGTATATTGGCTTTTTGAGTATCATTCAATAAACTAGTTAAATTATTAATTTCAGTTTGTTTATCTTTTAATATGGATTCATGTTCATTTCCACTCGTTTTAACTTGTTCATTATTTAACATTAATTGTTGATGATATTCTTTATCGAGATCATCTAATTTTTTATGAAGATCATTTGTTTCACTTTTTAAATTTTCATTTAAATTTATTAATTCTTCACATTGTCTTTTTAAATTGTGCATCTTGAAGAAGAAGAAAAAAAACCAACAAAAAATATTATATTTAGAAAACATTTTAGAACATATTTTCTCTCTTCTTTCTAGAAAATCTTATTCATATAGTTACTAAAATACAATTTTCTTCATCAGATTTGGAACTAATAACATAAGTAAATTTACCTCTTGTTCATGTTCATTTGTTTTCTTTCTCAAATTATCTTCATATTCTTTTTTAATATTTTCTAATACTTGTTTTTGTTGATGAATTGTTTCTATGCTTCCTTCTTTTTCTGTTAATGTCTGTTGTAATGATTCATTTGTTTGTTGTAATGATTCATTTATTTTTTGTAATTCGTCCATTTTTTGACATAAATTTTCGTGTTCATGTTTAATTTTTGTCGATGTCAATTTTTCTTGTTCATACAATTCTTTTAATTGATTTAATGTCATTTCATTTTCATGTTTATTCTTTTCATATTCATCAAATTTTAATTGATTTTCATTTTGAATATTTTTCATCAATAATTGTTGTTCTTTTATCGAATTTTCTAATTTTTCACTCATTTGTCGTAAATTATTCTCAACTTGATTTCGTTCATCTTTTGTTTTATTATGAGAAGATTGCTCTTCTTCATACGATTGTTTTAAATTTGTTAATATTAAATCATGTTCATGTCTAACCTTTTCATATTCATCAAATTTTAATTGATTTTCTTTTAATTGATTTTCATACATAATTTCTCGTTCATTATGATTTGCACGATCTGCATTTTGTAAATCAATAAATTGTTTTTTTAACTGTTCACATCGTCGTTCTAATTCAGGTACAATATTCTCTTTTTGTCTTGTTAAATCATTTGATAAATCATTTATTTGTTTAGTATTTATTGTCAATTTTTGTTCATAATCATTTTTTATTGTCTCAATTATTTGTTCATAATGTATTTTTAATTCTGTTTTAATTAATTCTTTTTCATGTTCTACACTTTGTTTCCATTCATTTTGTTTTTCATTTAATTCTTTTTGTTTTTCGTCTAATTCATTTGCATGATGTTGTTCTAATTTTTCTTTCAATTGTTGATGATAGTTCGTTTCAATATCCATTATTTTTTGCTTTGTATTATCGAGTTCATTTTTCAATGTCTCATTGGATTTTATCAAATCATCACATTGTTTAGTCAAACTAGACACCTTCAAGAAAAAAGTAAAAGATAAAGATGACTATTTTCTATTGCTCTAGTTTTTCTTCATTACCTGTTGATTTTGATCATTATGTTTTTTTTCTAAATTATTGATTTGATTATTTTTCATTTGATTATCTTGTTCAAATTCTACTAATTTTGCTTTAATTTTTTCTTCATTTTGTTCAAATAATAGAATATCATTTGGTGTTAATAATCGATGACCTTCTGGTATTGTAATTTCTTTTTGTTCTTGCTGTATCGTTTCAATATCCATTATTTTTTGCTTCGCATTATCGAGTTCATTTTTCAATGTCTCATTGGATTTTATCAAATCATCACATTGTTTAGTCAAACTAGTCACCTTCAAAAAATAAAGTACAAGATGAAAATGACTATTTTCTATTGCTCTAGTTTTCTTCATTACCTGTTGATTTTGATCATTATGTTTTTTTTCTAAATTATTGATATGATTATTTTTCATTTGATTATCTTGTTCAAATTCTACTAATTTTCCTTTAATTTGTTTTTCATTTTGTTCAAATAATAAAATATCATTTGGTGTTAACAATCGATGACCTTCTGGTATTGTAATTTCTCGTTGTTCGTGCTGTAATGATTGTTCTTTCGTCGTATCATTTAATTTATATTCTTCCAATTGAAATTCTAAATCTTCTAAACGTTGTTTATTAGTATAATCTTCTTTTTTTAGTGTCTCCAATTCGATTTGTTTTAAATCATATTCATTTTTCAACAATAACATTCGATTTTCATAATCATCAACTTGTTGTGCAGCACGAGAAAACTCGAGACGTTCTTGGTCACGTTGATGATGTAATTGTTCAATGTACATTTCCCTTTCTTTTAATGTTTGCAGTAAATTTGGCATATTAACGTTAGTGTTCGATGAAGGTTGTGGTGTGTATTGAGAAGGAACCTGCGTGGCTAATGAAGCAGCAGCTTGAGTTAACAAAGTTTTTGTGTTCGCAGTATTAAACGGAGTTGTAGCTGTATTTTTGAGAGCAGCTGTTTTCGAACTCGGTGTTCGATATGTTGGAATACGACTAACACTATTGGATGAGGTTGAGTATTCTGATAGATTTGATTGTAATGATTCTTGACTTGTTGTACGATTCAAACGAGATGATGCAGATGTAATTGACATTTGACGCGCAGGTGTGATTGGTTGATGCAATTGTTTTTGTTGTTGTAAAGAGATTTTTTCAACACGTGCAACAGGAGAAAACAGTCCGTATCGTTGTTCACATTTGAAATATCGTTTACCACTCACACTTCCATCGTTTTTTCCCAACGGTTCATCTAATTGAACTCCACACCATATCCCATCGGCAACGTGAATTGTGCCTAGATATCTTAAAATACCAGATTTTGTTCCACTAACAATCACTCGATCACCAACTTTCAAATCATTTGAATTTGTTGAAACTACTGGATTTTTATTTTCAGTCGTAGATGAATCTTCTGAAACCAATGTTCGCTCATTCTGTTCAATAGCTGCAGATGTTTCATTTAAATTTAATGTACTATCACCAGCACCTGAACATAATAAAAAATATAAAATAATACTTTCAATTAAATAAATTCAGTGTACTCACCTATGGTTGATGTCGAATTACCCAAATTCGATGTCACAGTTGACGATGTTTCATTTTCATTTGATATTGTTCGATTCTTCGGTGAAGTTATCGATGAATTTGTACTTTTACTCATATCGTCGTTTTGTAATTTTGCTAATTTAGCTGGACGACAAAATATTCCACGATTTGGTTCAGTATTAAAGTACACATGACCCTCGTAGGAACCGTCTAGAACAAAATTTAATATTAATGAATATCAAACTAAAATATAATTAAATAATAATTTTTTTACCATTTTTTCCCTGTGCTTGGTCAAGAATAACACCAGCCCATTGCCCTTCAGAAAATTTTGTTGCTCCTAGAAAGGCAATGGTACCTGGTTTGGTGCCGTTTACCAGGACACGATCCCCAATTTTATAGCTGACATTTGCCGTTGTATCATCAGCACCAGAATTTGATTGTTGTTGTGGAGCACGAATTGAGGGCGCTTTATTTGCAGCTGATGTAGCTATCTTTGATGGTGTAGTGGCAGGTATACGACTTGAATTCACCGGTAATTTACTCATATTTGCATTTGCAAATCGGAAAACGAAATAAACAGCGGAAATATAATAAAGATTTTTATTCAATCTAAAACATTTTAGACATAAAAGATAGTTTATTAAACAAAACGGACATTTAAAAAGAAACAAACAGCAATCGTACTAAATATTTACTGAATTACAAGAAATAATCGATAAATATAATTGTAGAAAAGATGCTGTTTGAAAGTGCAGTTTTTTTTTCATCAAGGTACAACAACGTCTGAATTGTTAACTTGTTCTTATCAGAAGATCAAAATTATGTTTTTTCTAAATTGATTCGCGGAAGATTCATTTTTTCAGATTGTTCTTATTGAAACACGTAATTCTACAAAAAATAAAGATACACATAAGAAGACGTTGATGTTCATATTTACAGTTGACGCTCTCAGATGCTATACTCATATTGAAAGATAATCGTTCATGCTTGTCGATGTTGAAAAGCATAAAACTAGAAAAATATATCTTTCATTTTCATGTATTCTAGTACACTTTCGAATACACGCAAAATGAAGGAGCATGGTAATTATTTTGAGTTTTGTTTTTTTTCGTGTTTACTACTTACATCATGCCCTTGTTTATAATCTGTATAAAAATACCAAAAAATAGATACACAAATAAAGAGAAAATATCAGAGAAAAAATATACACATAAGAAAAAGAACAGTCACATTTTATAAAGGTGAACATATTTGTACAGAAATATTGGTAGCATCCTTTTTTTTTCGATTTTTGTGAATTTATAAATTCACCAAGAAAAAGTGGCGACGATGTACCAGTATTCCATTCATCCAATTATCATCATTGGATTATTTATTTCTTGGTCGAATAACTTTTTTATAATCTTCTGGTTCTAATGGGACACCAGCAAGCACTTTTTCAACGATATCTGAATATTTACCAGGGCTATTGGTTGTCACTGTTTGAATATTTGGACGAATTAATCGTTGTCCATTTTGTAAGTTTGAACGTACAGCCATCTCTTCTTTATCTAGTACATATGTACGATCGTTTATATTTGGACGATTCATTTGCAATGGTTTTATTAACGGTTTTATATCTCGGATTGGTTTTGTTATCGAGGGTGATGATTCATTATCAGCTATGTTACGAATAGAAGTTGCGGATGGTGTAGACTTTTGTAATAGACGTTTTTGATTCATTGGACGTTCGATGCGAGTTGAAGATAGTTTTGGATTCATTACTGTCAACAAGTCAATATCGTCATCTTCATCGTTCTCGTCATCGAGAAATAATGGTTTTTGTCGTTGTTGTAATCGAGAGATGCCCGATCCTTTTGCTACTTTGTCCAATACAGGTGTCCGTGACGATATTATAACCGGTGATGGCGAACGTTGTCGATTTGAATATGATGATCTTTTTTCTCGTGATGAACTTCGTGCACGAGGTGTTGTTCGCGTCGGATTTGATGAGATTGGTATTCCCGATGCGTTTGTTTTCATTCGTTTTTTTATTGTCGGTGATGGACTAGTAAGTAATCTAAAAAGAAAACTTATAGAGCAAGGTATAAACAGATACAGATTTGACAATTATACCCTCGATTAGCACAGGAAGACAGTATATCCATCTGGCACTTCCCAACGTTATTTGGAACGTTTCTCTATTGACAGCACACTTTTACATTTTCTCTTCCGATGTATACGTCCTATTTGGGTCTCAGCTAAACATGGAGTTGGCAAAAATTCTTTTCTCCTATTCATTGGTAAATTCAACCTATAGTAGAATGATAAGTAATGCTGCACATTTTACTTCATCAGAAGAAAATTTATTAGAAAGTAAGAAAAACCCGTAGTAATAGTTCATTTTAAAACGCAAACTACAGTGTACATGAAATATTTTACTTTACCTTGGCATATGTTTTTTTTTGCTTGAGTATTGAACAGGTGACACATCCTCTTCTTCCTCCTCTTCATCATCATCATCATCATCATTTACAGTTGTTAACTGAGATTTTTTCGATGGTGTTAATCGTTCACTAGCTGATAGACTCCTTCGACGATAATTACCACTAATTATTTCTCTGAAACGATTATAATTCGCTTTATCCGTATATTCCATTTGTATTAATTCACGATAAAATTGTATGAGAATTTCAATAAATTTTGATGTTACTTTCTGTTGTTGTTGACGATTAGTATTACTCTTATTCATATTTGTTTGATCAAATAAAGTACTAACAAAACCACTTGGATCAGATCGAGCTTGAATTTTAGCTTGTTGTACACGATTACCATCTTGAATATTTAACCACGGTAATTTTGCTCCCAACCAATGCAACATATTATAAAATAATATCTCAATATCACCTCTAAAGAAAATCAAAACAAATATTACAATTCTACAGGTTACAATGTTTCTTGATAATTTCTGTCTACCTAAATGTTGGATGTGCACCACGATGAACATCGATCGAGGTGTATTCTAATGTTCCTTCATGTCGCCGTTGTGGTTTTTCTTCATATGTCAATGTTACTTTACGACTAAGTCCATAATCAATTAAATAAATAAAATTTGTCGATTGTTTATTCATGAGAATATTTTCCGCTTTAATATCAGCATGTACATAGCTATGTGAATGAATATATTCTAAAACATCCAATAATTGTTTACATACAATTTGTACACGTTTTTCTGATAATTGTTTATTATTCAATTCCCATTCTTGTGATAATGTTTGATGAAAACGTTGAATAATTAAAAAACGATAACGACGTTGAGTTAGTGGACTTACATACATTCCATGTGAAATTAATTGTGGTACTCCAAGATGATCTAAACGATTCGCTCTAACATAAGTATCTTGTAATGTTTTTTTGCCTAATTGTAAATAAAAATGCATTTCACAAAATAATGGACCATTCGAATCGGGTTCAACTTTAACAACATAACAATAATCATTTGATTTTGTTCGTTGACTTGCACATTCATATATACAACCAAAACCACCTTGACCAATCGCATCACCCATTATCCACGGATGTTGACATAAATCAGTTAATATTGTACCACGAACAAAAGGTTCAGCCATATCGTAAAGAGCATCTGCCTTCTTTTTTCGGCCACCGGTGCCAGCTGATGACGCTCCGCGACCGCCGCGACTTCCTTTGGGTGGCATTTAGAAACAAAAGAATTATAACGAAAGATATCTAGAACAGTAGAATAATGGATGGTAGAAAAAAGATTTTCATCCAACGACTTTCTTTTTGATTATGCCACATTTTACGTCTGAATCTGATTAGAATACATTATTTATTTCTCATCTGGCGAGTGATGTTTGTTCAAGTATTTCATGCTCTAGTAAACCTTTTAAAGTTGAAAGATAATATGCAATCCCAATCTATCCATTCAAAAAAACAAACAAACAAGTAGATTTGTTCAGTGCATTGTGACTTGTTTCCACTTTAATTGTGAAAAAAATGAAACACACCAAAGAAAATAAGTATATACAAAAAATCTGAACAACAGCAGTACCAAGTTAGACCAATAACAATTGATTTTATAACGGGTGGTCCAGAAATATAGAACCTCTCACTATTTTGACTATAACGTTTTTGTCTTTTATTTCAGACACTTAATTTTCCCTCTTAAAGATGCGCTATCTGATTCTCTAGAAAACACATATTGAATGTTTTTTTATATACTTTAAAAATAAAAGAATATGGAGAAAATAGTGTGAAGTTTCAATCTCGATGACTTTCCAACCAAAAAAAACTTTTTCAATGTTACTCCCTTTTATCTTACGATATGAAAGATGGGACAACGTTCATTTTCTAGCTTGTCAAAAGTTCTATCAACTGGTTAAATTTAAAACTCGTCACAATTACAAGCGGTTGAGAAAGAATTCTTTTTGTATTTTTCAATTTTTTCAGAATTTATCATTTTCAAACTGCAGTTTTTGAGCACTTAGGGGATTTTTTATAGCTCAGTCAAAAAAATCAAACATTTTGAGGTCGAGTTTGCTTTATTTTAAAGCAGAATAATTCTGCTATTACTACTGAACAAAAAAAGTTCAATAGTGGCATTTTTCCCTGCGAAAGCGAAAAAGTCAAATTTTACCTTCCAATAAATACGCGAAAAGAACCGTACTTCGGAGCACAAGGGCATATCCTTTGATTCTACTCTGATGTATAGCACCGTGCTCAAAATAATTCATTTTGTGTAGTCTTTTGAGTTGAAAAGTAATAAAGATTGAAACTTCGCACTATTTTGTCCATATTTTTTTACTTTTAAAGTATATAAAAAAATCTTCAATATGTATTTTTAAGAGAATTAAATAGCGCATCTTTTAAAAGGAAAATTACGTTTCTAAAATAAAAGACAAAAACGTTATAGTCAAAATACTGAGAGGCTCATTCTTTCCGGATCATTCGTTATATGAAATTCTTACAAAACATGCCTTTTATCAACCATATGTAAGTATCGAGGTGGAAGAAAAGAAGCAGCTTGAGATGTAAGTTTCTTGAAGATAAAAGAATTTAATTATTTTTCTACATTATCTGATTTGAAAGTTAACCCTATCTGAATTATTTGAAAGAGCTCTCACATACACCTACCGCCACACGATTATGCACTTAGTATTTTCTACATAGAACACACGCTCGCATTCGTAAGAGCAGTAATAAAAAGAAATGCGGGAGAAACAAAGATTTCACGCACAACCAGCTGCAAAATCCGAGTTAAATAGATAATAATATTGCGTACAAAACGAAATTAAATGGAAGACAGTCAGAAAGAAATATAGCTGAATAGTATACAAAAAGAAGTAACTGTGCCCAATCGTTAACTGAATTGGGCATAAAACTCGAACAATAGAATACAGTACATTTTCATTTGATGTTATGAAATTAGCCAATGCAAATAATAGAAGAAGTAGCTTGGAAATGCGTAACTATTGTAAAAATGTTAACATTATTTTATTCAGTGTGTTATAGAAAGAGAAGCTGAAAAACTAAATGAAATAGCACTGCAAATAGCATGAGTCAGATGACTGTGAGTTTAAACACATACAAGAAAAGAACCTGAACCAATATCAATCACGTTGTTTCTTAAAGTTTTGGTAATGCAGGCAAGTCTTCAGGTCCAACTCGTTAAGAGATCATTTTCTTCAAAAAATATTTGTACGATAGATTTTGAAAATACAAAACTTTGCGTAAATTTATTCTATCTGGTTTTCTCTTTCAGAACAGCATGAGTTTTTTCTTTAAAAACCTATGAACAAATATGTTAACTCATTCAAGTTTTCTAAGCTCAATTATAACTCTTCTATCTCATTCTTGATTATAACGAAGTTAAAAGTCAATCTTGTTTTCAAGAGTCTAACATAAATCCCAAAACACCTTAAATTTATCATAAACAAGTCTACTCGTGCTTGCAAATTTCAAAATAGTCAATGCTAGCTATGAACAACTGAATGGTAATGACAGAAAATGTGTGTCAATGATTTAATATTTACAAAAAAAAAAGACAACAATAGACAGACACTTGATATAAAAAAAATCACAAAATAAGAATAACAGAAACAGAAAAAAAGAACAATAATATAAGTTCCTTTTTCTTAAAATATTTTCTTTTTTTTGGTTCTCTTTTTTTTCTACACGTACACTGTTTTATAAAAACAAACTAACGTGTTGCGTATTTAATATTTATTTACATTGTTGCTGTAGAAATATACAGACTAATAAAAATAAAAAAAACCTTTCCCACATCTCCATTCAAATATTCGAGAGATGTTCACTGTAATTGATCAAATAAAAACAAAAACAGAAAGAAACAAACAAGAAAAACAACAAATTCGTAGTATCACAATCAAAATAGGAAATAAAAAGAAAAAAAAATGAGCAAAACAATAGAGAGAAAACGAGAAGCAATTAATAGTTTGTAACAGCCGAAACAAAAATGATAGCTGTCAAAATGTTATATGTTGATCAAATTTATACTCATAACCAAACAATTTTTTTTCGTTTTATAAATAGGCAAGAACTTTTAGTGCTATACATGTGGTAAAAAAAGTATAAAAACAAAATTAAGAAAATCACTCTCTTATATCTATTCTAGCATATATTTCTGAGAATTTTCTGCTGATCCTCAGATACTTCTAAGAATGACAGCTCATACATCAAAAAAAAAAAATTATAATTTTTTTGAAATAGTTTATTTTTCTTCCTTTATTTTACTTATTGTTGTTGTCGCCGTCGTTGTTGTTGTTATTGTTGTTGTTGTGGTTGTTGTTGTTGATGTATTTATCTGAGATGTAGATGATGACTCTTGTTGCTGTTGTGTAGATGATGATATTTCAGACAAAGCTGTGGGTGGTAATGGTATGAAAACGCCTACTCCCATTAATAAATTTCGTCTAGTAAAATGTAAAAGGATTGTCGATGTACGTTTTGTTCTATAACAAACCATTTCATATTTATGATTTGGTGTTATCTTATTTAACGTCTCTAATTTTTGATCTTGAGCATCTTTAATTAATTTTCCTAAATTCCATAGTTTAATTGTAAAATCTAAACTACCGGTAACAAGAATATTACCATCACGAGAATAATCCATGGAAAATATAGCATCATTATGTCCTAGAAAAGAATATCAAAGACAACATTAATTATAAGATTAAATAATTTTTACTGCAAAAGTATCTTACTAAAATTTGAGATTTTTTTCTTCTTTATACACAAAATACGAATAAATTAGTTGATAATTTAATAATCTTTGCACTTACCTATAAACGATGTTAATAATGCTCCATTAGCCATATCCCAAATCATTATATGTCTATCATATCCGCACGATATTAAATATTTTCCATCTTTTGTAAATCGTTTAATACATATCGGTAATTTATGACCAGACATTTGACGAATAGGTTTATTTGCATTACCATCTTTTGTTTCAAGTAGATCCCATATTTTAATAAGTCTATCCGATGATGATGTAGCTAGATAATTTGAATTTGGATGAAAACAAACTGTTTCAATATCATTTATTGTATCCGTATATATTCTCAATGTTTGTGAATGATCCATGCACCATAGACGAACAGTTTTATCTAATGAACATGATGCAAAATAATGACCAAATGGTCCAAACTGAATATCAAATACAGGTTGCATATGTCCACGATAGACAACTAAGCATGTAAAAGTTAAGAGGGACCATAAACGAATCGTACAATCTTCAGAACATGATAGTAGAAACCATTTATCTCTCGACATTGATAAACCATAAATAGGACCGGTATGACCACATAATAGACGTTGACTATAAACATCGTTATCTTTATCTGTTTCCATCTCACTAGATGGTACCTCTTCGTCATTTTCTTCCATCATCATTTGTTCGTAGACATGTTCATTTGACTTATCCAATGTATCTAAACCATTGGACAATTTCATTGTGATTAATTTTCGACGATTCAACGAATAAATTAAAATTGTCGAATTTTTACAACCAACTGCTAACAACGTAGAATCATCAGATAATTCTAAAAGTAAAAAATAAATAAATCTAAACTATCGTTTAACTAAGTTAAAATAAGTTCTAAATTAAAACTTTTCTCGTTTAAAAAATCTCTATAATGAATGAATAAATGTTCTTTTACCTAAATAATTGATTTCTAAATAACCATTTAATAGTGTGTAATAACAACATGATGGTAGATTTTCTTCTGTTACTTTCAATATCCTTGTATAGTCTTCATTGTACATATTCAATAGATCTATTCGTTCGTGTTCACGTAATTCTGGAATTGGCACTCGAGTTAACAGTGGTGAATTTGGATCGACACGTTGAGACGATTTAGTTGGACGTTGTGAAAATATATCACGTTTTAGTTTTTTACGATTTGTAATGGTTGGTTTTTGCTGTGGTTGTTGCTCGTCTTGCTGTTGCTCTTCATCGCCACCCGTACCATTTGCTGTGGTTTGTGTCGGTGGCGCCAGTAATGTTTTGTGATACTGAATTCGAGTTAAATCATGTTCTTTCAAAAGTCCATAGTACATTTTATTTTGATTATCATCCGTTTTTATCTCTCCTAGAAATGAAAATTGCCACTGAATATCAAATATTTCAGAATCGGACAATATTATTCTTACCTAATCTTCCTCCACTTAATAACTGTTGAATTTCAACATTTCTAGCTTGTCCATCACTTATCTCCAATTGCATATATTGTTGTATGAGACGTGTTAACAATGGATACTTTTGCTGTTTAATTAATAGTTGATCCAACGTTTTTAAACTCGAATCACACAATTTAATCCAATAACGACCATTTGATCGAAATGATTTAACAAAATCACTTTGTTCGATTTGTTGTTTAGATAAGAGAGATTTGATTTTATATAAATCATCTTCATGTGTAACAAATATTTTCTGTTGTAATATAGGTTTAGTTTTTGTATAATAATGAAAAAAACGCTGCGCTTCATGTAATTTATCATTTTCAATCAATTCTAAAATATCGAAAAACGATAGTTTATTCAACTAGTACAGAATTTCAATCATTTTTTATACCTAAATACATGTGTACAAATAATGGATAGAGTAATTGTGAAAATTCATGTCGATTTGATTCATTTTGTTCCTGGATATAATTCAAATAGGCATCGTACGTTTGAAAATATTGTTCTGAATCAAATTTCAATGATGTGACTGTTGATGTCGTTTTCATATCTGATGGTTTCTGCGAATCTAGAATTTGTTGATATTCTTTAGTTAATGTTTCTTCTGTGTCTTTTAGATTAAATTGTCGACAAAATTTTATTAACTGTTGAAACTGTTCAGGACGAGGAGTAAGAGGAGAAGATGGAATTGCTGTAGTTGTTGTGAGAGGTTGTTGTTGTGGCAGTATAGAAGAAGTGGCTGCTGTATGTGGAACTTGTGGTCTTATAGTCGATGGTGTTTGTGTGCGAACCTGATTATTAGGTGCGAGGAGTGATGGTGAAGAAATAGAAGCGATCGATGAAGAGGTTGTCAAAATATTGTTGTTGAGCACTGAATTTGAATGATCTGACACTGAAAAACTTTGTACCGAGGATGAAATAGGAGTAGTGACGGTTGTAAATGTTTGACGAACAGGTATAGTTGGCGCTGACATGTACTGCTGTTGTGATGATGGTTGCGGTTGATTCGAAATCTATTAACGGAGACAAAAAGAATTTTATATAAACTGCTTTCAAAAGAAGTGCATAATATGAGCTAGATTTCTCTTAACAGTAAAATAGTCAGTCATTTCTATTTCTGAGCTATTTTTGTACCTGTGATGTGTTATTCGGAACCGTGATTGTTCTCTGTTGTAAGTTTTGATTGATTGTTTGCGATAATGGCATTGATGTTGTCGAAGGTGATGATCTATTGGCTATAAACTGTTGTTGCTGCTGTGATGGCTGGAATTGCTGATACGACGGTTGCTGTTGATGAAGATTTGTAATCATTGTTGTTCCATTTGTCGTTATTACAGTTCCTTGAGTTTGATGTAGAATATTTGTTGGCGTATTTTGTTGCTGATTCGTAGTTGTCGAGTAAAGATAGGACATTTTAGACGCATTTACTTGATTTGTATTAGAATTGTTGTTTAAATTGGATGTTTGGGAAACAACAAAAATTTGTTGTTGATTCTGGGATTGAGGTGGCGTTTGTTGTTGAGACGAAGGTGGATAGTGCATTGCTCTATTCACAAGGGATAGAATATCCCAAATAAACTTCTAAAGATAGAAAAATGATAAGAGTCAAATGTCAACTAATATACAAATGCTGTGAGAAGTGGTAATGCAATTAGCACTACTAGCACAAAACTCGCTGATGGAAAAAATGAAGTATGAATACCTTTCAAAACCGTATTGTTCTTCTTATTACGCTGTTTTTAATTAAAATGGATGAATGAATATAGAAATGAGAATGTTTTTAAGATCGGGCTAGGGTTAAAAAGCCCTATGACCCAACTTTCATTCCATACACACACACACGTTTCGAAATTAAGTGTAACAGAAAATGAGTTCGGATCGTTATATATCTAAAATAATTTACAAATGCAAAGTAAAAAAGAAAAAAATAATGAAAACGTAAGATGTTCATTACACAAGCAAATGGAACATTAAATTATCAGATCCGTCAGACATTGAAAGGCAAAAGTAAATCTTCAGATTAAGCACACACATAGACGTGTGCATGGCAGAATGGTCGATTTTCGACAAAAATATCGATTTTGAGATAAATACAACATTGAATGGCGTCTACTTCCCAACACACTAAGTCTCAGAGATAGTTCTAGTCGATTTTTAAGCAAGGTTTCTGGAAATCCTGAATTGAGAAAGCATTTTTTGGACAGCTTAAGCTGCTTTTGTGTTTATTATAGGTTCTGGACCATAAGAAAGTTGAGGAATATGTGCGGTATATAAAAAATAACCCCAGCATTTTTTATATGAAAGGAATGGAATGTTTTACGTCGATGACCTCAGAATATATTGCTCTCGCTGCTAACATCGAGCTTTCTCCCTCACTATTGAACACTTACAAAATCTTCTTTTTAACCATAGTAATATTTTAGGCAAACCAATGGTAGTATACGCAGAAACTTGTACCGTACATGGTGATGCGTACGCCGAACAGATTCCTTAGGGTGAAAAACGTATACAAAACTTTAACAGAATGAAGAACACTTTTTTTTCCGGCTGAGAAAATATAACTTTTTTTTAGAGTAATAATAATGAGTTAAGTGATAAAAAAAATTTTTTAATTGAGGCTACTATGGATAAGGGCTGGATTTTTGAATTTTCATCTAGTCTTTGGCATAATCAATATCCTTAACAGTTTAGTCGACATTGAACTTGGAATTACTAATATAGGCTTTTAAAATAGAGACGAATTCTTAATCTAGCTTCGAGAGTTGAGTTTCTAACACAACTTATTTCGATTTCACAAAATAAAAATAAAAATGAATCCTGTTAGTTTTGTTTTGATTTGAAACAATTATTTACACATGTTTGTTTGAAGAAGAAACCTAATAACAAATAACAAAAATGAATAAAATATGAAATAATTTATCTTTGATCTCCAACTCCTCCCATGTTCGGTCCTTCTCCACCTGGTACAAGCATAGCAATATGATTTCCATTTAATAATATTTGATCTAATTTTGTTATCCGACTACCACCATCTTGTGTAGTTTCAAACTCGGTCACATCGTCTAATACCATATTAACATAATCATCAAAACCTAGTAAATTTCCAACAATTTCTTTATCAGTTTTCATAATGACATGGATACGAGAACCAATGCATTTATCAACTAATTCCAATGGTAATAACTGAGCAACATTAGCTATTTGAGAAGCACTTTGAACATGATGATGAACACCTTCGCCAGATACGCCAGAGGATGATGCTGTCGATGTTGTTGTTGTAGAAGTTGGGGCACCAACTGTTGGTACTGTACCAGTTGTCGTGGACATAATGATATAAATCAATAAAAAAACCTAGAAAGAGAGAAAAAAATAATGTTAAAAATAAATCAGTTTTGAACTGTTGATGAGTAGAGAAAGAGCGAGGCATACACTTTTACAACTAAGCATCCAAGCTACAGATCTCTGCAGTAGATTATACCGCAAAAAAAGGTGTCCTTCGTTCGCTTGCTGAATTATATCACACTTGCTAATGATTAGCAAATCATCTATATTTTTTTCTGGAACTAAAAGCCCAGAATAGCTCTTGACCTTATTTATTCATCATTAGCAGCATCATCAAAAAAGTGTTCAAAGATAAAATATCATTTCATTAATTTTTCTATAGTTAATGTATGAAATTTAGTTTTTTATTTTATTTATTTTATTAAGTTTTTTCTTCGGAGGATTTATCGACACAGAGGAAAAAATAAAACAATCCAAAATGTGGACAATTTTTCTCCAGTAAATATCTATATGCAAATCTCTTCAAAAATCATTTATATATATACAGAGATGTACGACATAAACTACACTAAAAACAAAAAGAGTAGAAAAAAGTACGTACGAAAAAAACTTAACAAATAACAGTTGTGAAAACGAAATAGTTCCCCAAAAAAAACGAAGAAACTAATTCAAAAGAAAATGTTAGAGATTATATTCGTTAAAAAAATATGTACAAAGTTTTGATTAGACGAGACTCTTTGTGCGCTGAAGAAAGAGAAAAATATGTAGACGGCACTAAAAAACTGTTGTCATTGAACTCTGTTCACTTTTTCATATTTATAAAAGGAACGAGAGAAAAACAATAATTTTTAGAAAACAAAGTAAAAGTTATCAAATTTTCTCATAAAGTGAGGTGCAATAAAACAATGAACTGTCTGTGATACACGTAAGGTCTGTATAAAGCAAATCTTATGATTAATCAAATCAAGTTGTCCATGGAATATCTATCTGTGATGTTTGTTGTTGTAATTCTTGTGGTTGTTTGTCAATACCGTCCATGAGACGTTGTACATATTCACACTGTTCTTTTAATTGTTTTTTTACATTTAAACCATTCAAACGTGATGTGGGATCATCGTACCACAATTCTTCACATAACTTTGAGATAATACGCATCGTCTAAATAGAAAAAACATACAAGACTTTACAACATAGTCAAATAACATTTTTCCTTTGCCTAAAACGTCATCCTGATGAAAGAACGTTTACAAAGGCTTTCAACCATTCTAGATTATTTGTCAGAGAATACTAACAGAATTCTGTTGCCATCGTGGTGATGCTGTTGGTCTTAATTTTTTCACACAAACAACTTCGCGCATTTCTTCAATGGATGGATCAGGTGTGACCATATCTTGATAGGGTAACTGAAATTCATCTGCATCACCTGTCAAAAAGAAAATAAATATAGAAAATTTCAAACTATGTATACTGTCTAATACGTACCCTTATCGGTAAATGGTCTTGGACTATGACAACGTCTTAACAATTCCCAATAGACGAGACCAAGTGCATAAATATCAGCTGCTTTGAAAGAATCAAAGTTTCGTTCATTCATAGTACCACTTAAAACTTCTGGTGCCATATATCCTAAAACATGTTAAAAAACTATATTGATGAATTATTTATTTTAGAGAGAAAAATAATCTCATATGCCATAATCACATGCCGTTAATCTTCATATCGATTTTTGAATGCGAGTTCTTTAATTAAATTAAACTACGACTTCAACATGTCGTCTATTTGTCTTTAATCGAAACAGTCTCACTTTCAACCTGAAAATTGGCATAATAGTAACATTTTCTTACGTTTTGTTCCAACACGAGTATTTGCTTGAATGTCGATAACGACGGCTTCTGCATCCCCCTTATTTGATAATGATGAATCTTTTTTTGTCGATGGAGTACATTTTACTTGTTTGACTGCCAGACCTATAGAAAAATGAGAATCGACGTGAGCAATCTTTCAAAATCATAAATAGAGAATAAAACATACCAAGATCAGCAATACAGCATGTTAAATCTCGTTTGACAAGTATATTTTTAGTTTTGAGATCGCGATGTGCAAGAGCTACTTTACCTAGAATGAATGTGATAATTGAATTTGTTATAAAGAGTGTAGTTTTTTGAACAAAATAAATATTTATGGTTCATTCAATAGGATAGTATCGGAAGAAAATTTATCAGAGTCCAGTTTTTCCTTCTTGTAAAAACAAGAAGCAAAGAAATGAAAGATTTCGTAGGTAAGCTGAACTTTGAAAACTAGCAATACACGTCCGGTCGACTATGGTAAACTGTTGCATTTAGAAGACATACCATTTGTTGATTCAATCGGCATATGTAAATGACAAAGTCCACTGGCTATTGAAAACATCATTTTAAGCATTGTTTTCAAGTCTACTGCATTGTTCACTAAATAATCATACAGTGATCCGTTTTCATGATAATCTGTTACAAGCCACAATTGCGTGTAAGTGATGGCATCCTGAAAAAAGAAAGGTTAAAATATGAAACTACCATATATACTCTGATAACAAAGGTCACTTACCTTATTATCAGCTGCTATATAACCAAGAATATGTTCGTGTCTAAAACATGTTGTTTGATAAATATCCACTTCTCTAAACCATGAGCGTTCATCACTTGTTGAAAATATTTTCACGGCCACATAATCTTCACGCCATTTGCCACGATAAACACAACCGTAACGTCCTTTACCAATTAATTCTTCTAGTTCAATTTGGCGAGCTAATGTTCGCTGCACAAGTAACGGCAAAGCTAAATAATTTTCAAAAAGTACGATTAGATCAAATACACAAAAATTTACAAAAAATAAATCCTATACCCGAGCCAGTTATACTCGTCGAGTATTCGTCCAACAGTCCAGTTAATGATTGATCAGTGGGTATAGTGTCGGTTGTTGATCTTTTATTTTTACAGCAAAACAGTGAATTATTATTCATCTGTAGTTTCTCCGGTGAAAGGAATGTTGATGAGTTATTTGAAGAGCCAAACAAACAAAATCGTTTTCTAATAAAAAAGAGCAAAACTTTTTATATGTTCGTGTAATAACATGAGTTCTCAGCGAAATTTTAGACAGAATCAATAAGAGAATTTCAGAAGTGGATTGTAATCTCTCTAAACTACTGTTATACTTACTTTGCTGAGCCTTTAATGAGATACAAAAGTGCAATAAAAATACCAGCAAAAGCAATAACAATGATTATTAACAAAATAATAATATAATGTATTGGAAATGTTGGTTTATGTCTTGTATTGTTGTCTCGAACAGTATTGTTGTCTAAAATAAATAGAAGAGATATGTTTTAATTATTGGTATGAAAGACATGGTAGATTTCAAACCTGGTTTATAAAATGAATCGTTCAAATATTTTCGTAAACTTGCAGAATAAGCATCTCGATCGTTACATAAATTATGGGATGAACAACAAAATATTATACGTCCAGTTGTATTTGTAGTACAATATATTTGACTGAAGAGATATTGATCACGAAAACAACTAAAAGAGAAAGATAATCAATAGATTATGATTAAAATCAGAGGGACAAGATAAATTATGTATTAGAATTGTTGTGCGCTAGATGTTGTAGAATAATTTCATGAAAATAGTTTATTCTCAGATTTTCTTAATTGTTATAAATTATTTATGGATAGAAATAGTAGTTCAATTGTTGCCACCTACTTACCCGGCCTCTGTAACTATAACACCGTTGTCCATTCTCCAACTTTGATAACAACGGGCATCTTTATTTAATATTGTGCATGTTTCTTTGTTTTCATCACAGGTTTCGCCAGGTGTACATAAACATTCAATTGGATTCGATAATCGTGGACTAGACGAATTTGAGGAAGAAAAACTATTTACAAAATCAAATGATATAAACAAAAATAGTAATAGACGACCAACTGCATTATGAAAGTACATCTTAAAACAAAACAAATAATTTTTGTGAATAGCAGACACAAAACCATTTAGAAGTTATTAAAATAAGTTGTCCCTCTTTTACTACGTATCCGCTCTTGTACATTTTCGTTTAATATATCCTCTTAAAGCACTTTGCTACTGAATTTACACCAACCTGTAAAAATAGTGTCCTTTGAAAGCGTTCCATTTAAAAGAAAGTAGTTTATTAATAACCGATAAAATTGCCTTCAAAGGGAGATATCGGTACCTTCTATATACTATTCCTTTCAACAGTTAAAAACGTTTTCCTGTGCCTGCTAATACTAGTCTACTATGTTTTTTTAAGTATCGTTTTTGGCGCTACTGGATCTCTACATTTTACTACGCTACTCTTTCCACATGTTTTAGCGCACGATAACATATTCTTTTATTTCAAAGACCGAACTTACACAGAACTTTGAATAGAGACGTTTTTATAGATACTATCGTTTGGGAAAAAACTGAAGAAATTCATCATTTAGATGTAAGCAGAAAGGTCCAGGTCTGATAATTACTAGTTCAAAATTTTAGCAATTTTATTGGACGCCTTATTTTGTTACTTGTGCTATCTATAACTCATGAATGATTCAATGTCTAGAGCTAAGATCTTATTCACAACATCAACCTTAGTCTCCGAAAATTTCGCTCAAAAAAATGAATCTACATATCTTTCTTCCGCAATACTTGGTACTACTTCATAAATAGTAATCAATGAAAAATAACTAAGTCTAAGTGACTTTCTCTGTTCGTCTCCCCAAATAGATTGCACTAAGACGTGAAATTATTTTTCCAAGCACTTTCTTGCTCAAGCATGTTATGATCATTCACTTTATTGAAGAGTGTGGTAATATGAACGAAATGACATATTGCATATCTCTAGTTTTGTTTATTCCGTCTGGAGATCATTTATGTCACATATACATTTACATTCACATACAAGCAATTGCTTGTATTGTTTGTTAACAAACAATACCAAGTACAAGTACAACATCCACTCGTTTTTCCGCAAATGACCCTCAACCGAGGAACTTGAAATCAGTAATCGACCAAAGAGTGTCCTATTATATCCTTTTTTTATATCACTGATATACATAGAACCTTTATTTAAGTTGCGATCAAAAGTTATATCTGTCAAAAATCACGCTTCAGCTGCTGAGGTCATCTATCGTATCATTATTACTATAGTGATGTTATGGGACTTTCTGAACGCAATAGATTAATTAATTACTAAAGAGATTTTAAAGATTAAAAATTATCAGGAAGCTATTGGTGACTTATTGCAGATCGCCAATATAATGATGTTTAAAATTGATTACGACTACCCTAATTTGAGTAAATGTGATTGTAGAAGAGTACAGAATTTAATAAGACTGAGGCGAAACCATCAAACACAAATCGAGAAAGAAGAGTGAAAAGCAAATTAGAATTTTTCTTCAGCATAGAAATCAAAGAGCGGGCGCCATTTTCTTAAGATATCGGCGTCCTTGTTGTAACTTTCACCCAGAATATATAATTGATCTATCAGGAACTCTTTTCGGGGAAAAGATAGTGTTTACTGGGCTGATGAGAAATTTGATTGTATGTTGATAATAAACAATTACAAATTGATAAACAGTTATGTATAATTAATTATATGCTAAATTTATACAAGTTGTGTCTAAAATGATGCCACTGTCATTGTCAGAAAACGTGTGCAGCGATTTATTTCAAATTCTTCATCTAATCCTCAAGGTGAACGATAGTTACTTCGCTAGTGTCTCAGAATATGGAGTAACCAAATATTATCTTTCCAACTGTTCTGCTCTTTGACTTTAAAACGAGAGATGCCGTTTTTATTTTATCCTTTTTGAGTAGAGAACATCCATAGACAACATTTTTTCTGTTTATCGACCAAAGTAAGAAAAAGATAAAATGATCGAATGTGCCCTAGTTGTAAGTTATTCCGTACTCTGTCAATTTCGTTAATTAAAACCAAAAGAAACTGAAAGGAACCTTTTTCTAAAAAACAGATCAATATAGAACACTTGAATTATCACTGACATGTATCACTACCATCGGATATAGTGATTAGTATAATACATATAAAATAATATATTTCAATCGTTTTTCATATAATTCAATAAGGCTCTTCGATACCTATCACTCAGTATGCAAACCATTATCAAACGAAAGTTATCTGTGGGTAGAAAAAAAGTCGAAATACTAATATATTGCATAAAAATTTAAAATGACTATATTTCAGCTACCTCTTCATCTATAAGGTTCATTCAAACGGAAAAGAGTTTATGATAGATCAATTATATAAAAGAAATATTTAATTTTTGTCAAAAAACGTGTAAGTTATCGTCGATTGCACAGAATCTGTTAAAATTCTGCTAAAATCTGCAGCAGATAGATTCTGCTAGAAATTTGGTATAGATCTTGTTTACAATCTGCAGTGATCTGTTGCAGAAATATTCCTTGAATTATTTAAGCGTATTTTTGATGTCACAATTATTCGTCAGAAAAAAGGTAGCCCCACATGTGATTTGAGAATTAGTTATTATATTGCTACATTATTATTTAATATTTAGTTTGATTTGTTTCGTACATAACTTTATTTCGTCTCAAGCGTACATGTTTTTGCCAAACAAAGAAAAAAATGATACATTGAAAATCTTTTTTTGTTTTTTTTTGAAGGCCTAAAATACATATATATTTATAGATTCATTACATAAGCAATTGTCTACCAATACCACGTTTCATACGAACTGGCTCTAATAATTGACGTTTGCCTACACGTGTTCGACTAAGTAATTTTAGTAGCAATGCATATTCTTGAATACAATTTTCAAATTGAATCTCCCAATCTGGATCAGTTTTCTCGATTATTTTTGCACAATTTGTCAGCATATTATCCTTGCCAGCTGCAAATGAGTACGCAATCATATGACAGACGCATAGTAGAATGGTAACATAGCTAAAATGAGAAATAAATAAATAAAAATGTTATACATGACAATAATATATTTGGATAAAAGATTTACCATGGTAGTTTTGTACAAGACATTATGAACATAAAATAAATGTGTGCAGTCTTTGACGCGAAATAGTGCAAAAATGAAAATGCTTTTTTCTCGACTAATTGTATATCTACATCATCAATATTTTTCCTTTTTCAACAAGAATAAAGTTTTTTTTCATAATATATATTAGTAAAAAAAAAACATGTACTAAAAAAATTTATGAAGCATCATCTCACATATATGACTTCGTTAGTGATTAATATTCTTTTTTTTTCACGCTGATGCTATGAAATATCAAATACACGTTTTAAAAAATGATCTATATGAAGCAAAAGGAGTGTAGGTTACTGGAAGACCGCTAAATATCAAATGAGAAGTTATCTTCCTCCGCATTACAGAATAATATTAGTGAGTTTGTTGTTTCTTTGTTTTGATTATAAATTAGTGCAGGTTATTTATCATTTAAAATGTCCCAACCAATGTTGTTAATCAAACAACTTAACTTAAAGTTTCATTATTAATAATATTCAATTTTAATAAATGTTATCTCATCTCAATCTTATTTGCATACCTAATCTCTCTCCGCTATATATTAACAGACACCGATATTATGCTTTTATTAAACATTAATTAGACATCTGACCTTTTGTTAAATAAAACAGCGGACTTGATGTTCTTCTATTAATTATTTCCATTTTTTTTCTCCTACTTTTAATTTGCAAAAATAATTTTGACGTCAAAATGTCATTCGTAACATTCATCTCATGATTTAGATCTCCTCTAGCCTAAAACAATATTATCATATGAAAAAGTGATAATAAATTCTTTGACTACGGTTAGAAACTGAATAACGTTCAAGAGTATCCTACTGCATGAAAATAACGAGAAAATGTTTTAATTTCAATTTTAATGTAAAAAATAAAATTATTTCTAAAGTTAGTAAATAATATAAATTGAATTAATATTTTTTTTTTCTTTTTTGTTGTATTTAGTGTTAGGAGTTTATTAATAAATAGATACTTAGAAAGATTAGCGATACAGATAATCATTGCAGTCAACAAACGATGAGAAATTTAATTGAGTCGGTCCATTTTTAGGCGAAGTATTGGTTACTCGATCTATAATATTTTGATAAATGATAAAAGAATGTTAAAATAATAAAATCTGTTCATAACTGTTTACGATTTAGAAAGATTTAAATATATAGATCAATTGCTTGTGCAGCAGCAATGAATGATGACACAATGATATAAATTGTTGTTGTTATCAGTGGTAAGAGCTAACAGCCATTTGAAAAATATTATAAGGATAGCAATTTTTACCAATAGTTATACATCACCAATGCTAGTTTATTAAAAAATATAAAAAATAACAAATGCTCTACTAGAATATATAGTCAATTAAACTTTTACAAATTGTTCACATCCTGAATATTTTGGCAATACTAAATTATATTTTTTTTGTAATGAATCCGGTACAAATCGTCCGCCAATAAAATGATATTTGCCTTTGAAATGTTTCATACATGTTTTTGGAGCCGTTAATGAAATCACACATTCTGGTTCTAATGATGAATCATTATCTGGTCCACTTTCCACATTCCAACCTGATGGTACATCAATCGATATAATTGGTATTTGTTTTTCTACCTTTTTCATTTCTTTAAGAATATCGGCGTACGGTTGACGAATTTCACCATTAAAACCGAAACCAAATATAGCATCAACAATAAGATGATAATCGGAATATTTATTATTATTTTCTAGTTTATCCAAAATGTCAATATCCATTTTTTCACATTGTTTAACAAGATTATTGTATAATTCTTTATCGGTACGTTTTGGATAAAAGACTGTTGGTTCATAACCAAACATTTTCAAATGGCGAGCACAAACTAGACCATCGCCCCCATTATTTCCACCTCCAGCCACAACTAAACATTTTAAAAATTTATTTTTATCATTATAAATGCTACTAATTGCACTGGCACAACTTAGTCCAGCTAATTCCATTAATTGATCGACACTGAACTTATACTCATTAAATAATTCTTGATCAATATCTTGTGCTTGTTTTTGAGTTAAGTATGACATTTTATTGAGATAAATCAACGATAAATTACTGATTCTACGAAAGAGTTTAGTGGATATAACAGAAATCAACATAAAATTACCATCTAAAATTGTATTCACATTTATTCATGATATAGCGTCAAAATATTGCCTCAAAATTCACACTAAATGTGTACTACTTTCATTTCATAGTACACAGTGTGGTCATTTCGTGAAAAAATTAGTAATCACAGTTATGAAACCGACACGCTTTTGGGAACATTATGAAGTTTCTATGATTAAAATGTAGAAACTTTTTTCTAAACAGTGTAATTAGTTTTGAATGATCACTCGTAGGTGGGAGAAGATATGAAATGCTTGCGTAAATACATTTTTTAGAAGCTTTAGAAATTCTAAAATGAAGCTCATTACTTAAAATTGAAAAATCAATATATGTGGTATTTTATTTTAATACCGATTCTTACACAAAATCCTTTGATCAGATTGAAATAACCGACATTTTCAATTAGTGAAACAAGTGAGGCAGAGTAGACTTTCGTTTTTATGCTAAAGAAAAGAAATGCCACTTTGTTTTTCACTCTTTTTTTCTATGTTAGTGTTTGATGGATTCATTACAGCATTATTAATTTCTACATTTTTCTATCTCATGGAAAACAAATAAGAATTTTTTCTTAGATTTACTTATTATTTTGTATCTTAACAGTAACAATGAATGACACCAATTTTATTTTTGCTCTAATAATGTAATGTCGATTCTGCTTTCCCCTAGTGATAAATCAAAAAAAGTAATTATAGGACGTGGACTAAGCTGAAAAAAATGTGCTTATTTCGTACACTTTTTCGTTTTTGAACAACTTATATTCATTGGATAAAAGTTTTGAGTTTACACGAAAACAAAATGAGATTTCATTTCTTTTTCAGACAAGCTACGATTACCGAAGTATCCACTATTCTATGCTATAGAGGACTCTGCTTTTGTGAATATCTCGTAGCTTGTCTGAAAAAGATGAAAACAAGAAATGAACTCTCATTTTGTTTTCGTGTAAACTCAAAACTTTCATCCAATGAATATGAGTTGCTCAAAAACGAAAAAGTGTACGAAATAAGCACATTTCTTTCATCTTAGTCCACGTACCATTAAGCGGATCATTCTAATTAGAAGCTCAATATGACAGCGTTTATTTTATGAGAGTAGAAAATATGATGCAATATATCGAAGTGCAGCTGAGATACTCCTTAAGAACCTACGAGTAACGTGCACCCAAGAAAATGATACAAAATGTATTTGTTCCAGCTCGACTTCGTCGTACAGTTCAGTTATTCGATATCAATCAAAACTGACTTCCATTGATGAGTAGGGTGTTGAATGATTTTCAGAGATTTTTGTGTCAATCCTGAACTTCAGAATTCGCGAGATATCATAATATTTCTTAATTTTAGGTTAGGGGCGTTTTATTAATATGGGAGTGAGGGATCATCGGCTGAAGTCAACTTTCTAATGGTCATTAGTCATCCGATTACGACAATCTCTATAGATCAGACTTTAGCAATCAGCAGTTAGAAACTCTAATCATGGATGATTGGGATACACCGAAACTTTTACTTATTTCTGACATGGACTAGAATTTTACACAATAATAAAAATATGACGGATCGATGAAAAGTAATTTCAGACTTAAATTTGTGAAAGAAACTTTTACCATGATACCATCAATAGATACTACAATGACCCTTTTACTGTAGGTTTTTATGCTGTTATATTACACAAAAGATTTTCTACAATGATGATCGTATATGTATATATAAAGATGGATTTTGTTTCTTTCACAGATCACAGATTGGTTAAGAAAATTATCTAATTGAAAAACTAAATACAACCTCTTCTCGCGTAACATTATATTATCTCGAAGTGCTTTATATATAAGCGAATCGTCATAGTCTCGAGTAAAGAATATTCTTCACTCGAGACTATGACGGTTCGCTTATATACCTGTAATTTTTTATTTTTAAGATCTAAAATATGCTGTCATCTTCTAATTTGACTGATACCGTTAATTAGGTGTCTCTCGATGTGAGTTTATTCAGAGAAAATACTTCCTATCGGCTTTAAATTAAATGTTGTAATAAAGTACATAAAATCTGTGAGTAGGAATGATCTTCATACAACAATAAAAGACCGAGAGATATTTTATATACAATGATCACAGGTTCTAAATGGAAATATAAAGACGTCTTATAAAAACTACAGACCAGAGGTGTACTCGGTATCGGTACCCGCGCCGGTCAGGGGTGTAATCGGTATCAAAAATGCGATACCGGTACCGATCACCGGTAGACAAACTTCGTACCGGTACCGGACCGGCACCGATGACTGATATACCGGTTGGTACCGGCTTGTCTTGATCATATTTTGCCTAAATACAACCCAGGACGTCGAAAACGGTGTAATTAATTGCCAATTAAATGCCATTTAATACGCTATTAATATGCATTTAAATGGAATTTTTATGTCATTGGCCGTATGTTTTTAGGCCGTTTTTTGCCATTATAACTGGGAACGTTTAAATGCATTTATTTCGCATTTGTTTAAATGTGAAAAAACGGTCAAATAACACCCATTTAACTGCTGCCAGTAACCCTGCTAATCCCATTCTTTTGCCATTTAAATATCAAATTTTAGACTGTTAGAAAATGTCAAAAAAAATATCCTCTAAAGCCTGAGATACTATCACCGGCACCGATCCAAGAACTACAGACCACATCTTCGAGGCAAGTTTCTATAACTCGTATAATTGAAGAGAAAAACTCTAAATTATAATATATATTATATAAAATCTTTTCACTTTGATTAGGTATGTATAGCTGATTTTTCACACGCTTTTTTTTTACGAAAACAGCAGTCAAATTCAATCTTGTAAATTAAGAAGTTTATATAAGCCGAGAAAGCTTTAGTAATCGGAGTGAAATTTTAGTGGAAGAAATATGTACAGATGAACTGAATTTACACGATGTTTTTTGAAAAAAATCGTATTATACCGCAAAATACCAGTGATATCGGCCGACGGACACTAATACCGGTATATCGGTTGGCGTTATAATTCGTATCGGTGCCGGTATACTAATACCGGTTGCATCTCTGGCGCCGGTCCGGTACCAATACGAATATAATGCCGAGCAGTACACCGGTATTAGTATGAAGTATAGTCAGTCGGCCGGTATGGCCGGTATGTATACCGGTATCGGTATCGCATTTTTGATACCGGTTACACTCCTGCTACAGACCACGGGGTGCTGTATACACAATTTAAATATCACGTCGAAGGAAAGAAATATAAATCGGGATTCTAATTGATCATACAGATCAGAGACCATCGCAGGGCAACTTTTTTTTGCCCTGTCGTGTCGGTAAGTTATTCATAAAATTTTTTGGGCCCTGATGTGCCCTGTCTGGGTGGGCAGGACGCCCTCCAGTGCAAAAGAAAGTTTTTCTCCTTAACCTAGAATACTTTATCTTCCAGAAACTCATCGCAAATACTGGATTGTTTCTCGTGCGTATCAGAATCTTTTTTTAAGGACAGGGCAACAGGACAGCCTTGTCCTGTGATGATCGCTGATACAGATATAAGAACGAGGAAAGCATAAAAAGTATGGCAATATCTCAAGAAACGCAAGTCCATGGCGTAAGAAAAAAAACGACCTTTTCCGTGGCTTAAGCGTGCTTATGGTCTTTCAAAAAATATTCAAAAACCTATAATAGCCGTGGAAACCAGGCGGTGTTTTTTGGGCTATTTGTACAGCAGATCAAAAAATCCATAATTCAATAAAAATTAATCGAAATTAATTCAGAATACCAGGAAATACTTTATTTTATCTATTCAATCAGCCTCCGTTAATTAAAAGACATTCCTTTATCCCAAGAGGTTTCTGATACATCCTTTTGTATATTTTTAAAACTTTTATTGAATTTCATAATACCACATAGAGGAAAAAGTGTACCTTGGTAGTTTTTGTGAACTAAAAATTAGTTTGGAAATGTTAATAAGAAGCGTAAATCCGGTGTCGGTTTTCGGTATCGCTCACAAAAAAAGAGGAAAAAAATAGAAACGTTAAACATTTTTTAAGAGGAGTGTTGGGTAAAAAAGAGAAAAAGAGCAGGCATTTTTTGGGCCGAAAAACGGTACTAACAATGTTGTGTACACGTCAAAGTGGTTTAAGACTCTCAAAGGAAAGATTTCATCCTACTTAAAGTATTTTTTTTGTGTTTCACGAGTAAAAACTAAGAAAAACACAGGAAAAAGGAGTTATTCTAGTTTAACATATCTGACTGTTCAAACAGCATCGCTAACGAATGTGATATTTTCTTGCAACTCTTTGATTTTTTCACGGTGTCTATCTTTCTTCATATACTGTACTATCGACTGCCATCCTTTGTTCCCACAATCTAATTCGCCGATTTTACACAATGTACATACGAATGTTGATTCCTTAGCACCTTGCTTTAACCATCGTCTCACACGGACTTCAACTACTGTTTTTTGTAACCATGAGTGCTTGAATTTTGTTCCGTATGACGGCATTGATAAAAAAATATATCTGAAACTACTTTTAGATTTTTTTGGATCTAAGAATAGAATTCTGAAGAAGAATTCTGGTGTTTTTGCTAAAAAAATCCCAGAAAAGAAAGAAAAAGAGGAAAATTAGCTCAAAAAGAGGAGAAAGAGGAGAGGTCTTGAAAAAAAGAGGAAAAGAGGAGCATTACGAACCCAGAATATCATTTACAATTTGGCCAGTTAAGTAATTTCGGACAGATCTTGTTCATTCAATCGGTATTGTTGCTCTTCTAATCTATTATTGATTCTCAAAAACCCATACTAAACATAATGCACATTCTCAATTAAATCATTTAGATATTTATTCTAAAATTCTCTCTACCTCGTTTGTTTATATTATGAAGTCAAGATCTTTGAAAGAGAGTGAGTGAGGATCATGTTTAAAATGATGAAATATCAAATACAAAAGTTTTTTTTATGACATACTAATTCTATAGAATGTAGTACTGATTTATAAGAGTTGCTTAAACTGTATGAGTAAAAAATAACACAATATTTCTGTTTAGCAATTACTGTATGATCTGTTGATTGTTTTATGACAGAGTTTTTCAGTGTTTACGCCATCTTCAGAAGTATAGATGGCTCAGATCAGACTTTAGCATTCTCATTAAAGAAGAATTACGTGAGTGTAATAATACTTTATTAAAATGGACATGTTAGGGGTGGCCCTCGTGAATGTACTTGGTACAAGTACTTAATTACTTGATGAGTACTTGGGAAGTGTGTGACAAATTAAGAACTTGTCAAGTATTTTTACTTGATTTACTTAAGCCAAGTACTTGGACAAGTCAGTCATCCTTTTCTTTTGCATTGACCACTTGTATATAAACACCACAATATCAATCGTTATATACTTATAAATATATTTCTACTGCGTTGAACTAACTTAGTAGCCGTGTATGTATTGGCTTCACAAAGTAGACTATAGCTCCAGAATATATATAAAATACAAAATAAAAATAAATGGAACAAATACTTAACTGAACTTTTTTAAGTAAACTCACTTTGTGTCAGCCAAGTACTTACATTTTTCCTTCTCAAGTACTTGACAAATAAATTTACTTGGAAAAACCCACAAGTACTGTTCTCATTACTTAATCCAAGTACTTGCGCCAGTACTTGGTTCAAGTACATTCACTAGGGGGCTCTTTACTTTACCAAATAAAATAATAAGTGTTTAATACAATAAGTATCTTTATTCTGCTGATATCTTATTTTCTAGATATATACCTCTCCCCATGACTAGATTTTCTCTTTTTAATCAGTCTATTTACATTTATTGACTCCTTATTTCTGACAAGTAGCAACAAATTTATTTTTACACACGGTCAGGTAAAGTGTCACTCCTGATGCAATACATGTTAACTGATTCTATTTTTTGTTTAATACGCTCATTTAACCACGATATAATTTCAACTAAAAATATTGTGCATCTGTTTGTCAGCGAGAATAACTAACAATGCATTTGATTTAATGAAATTACTACTGAAATATAAACTGACTAAAAGATATATATATAAAAATACATATTCAGTTGTATTAACATTCAATTGTTTTATTAAATCAAAAGAGTTGGCCAACAAGACGTCGCTACAAGATTTGACTAATTCTAGGGATAGTGAACTCATAGTTGTAACCTGGCCGGCAGACCGGTCCGGTGTAAAAGTTTAGACCGGTCGGTCTTCACCGCTCTAGAAAAATTTTCAAACCGGCTGGTGATTGACCAATTTTTGGCCGGTTTTGAAATTCTCAGCATTTTTCTCTTCTTCACTAAAAAAAATGAATTTTTCTACCCTCTTGTCCGTCTAGAAAATATTTGAAAACTAGTAGGTTTTCTGCCGTTTTTTCACCGGTCTAAACATTTTTTGAAAACCGGTTGTTGTTTTGCAGTTTTTTAACAAGTCTAGAGAATTTTTGAAAACCGACAGATCTTTTGTCGGTTTTCCACCAGTCTAAACCGATTTCTGGCTGTTTTGGATCGGTCGGCTCGGTCCGGCCTCTTATTTTTTGACCGGTTACAACTCTGAGTCTACCAAAATCAAATTCTTTGTACAATTATATACATTGTGCTAGATAAATAGAAAGAATCGACATTGACAGACACAATCATTAGAAAATAAACATAAGATATCATTCATTCTAAATCTAATCTGAAAACTAAACAAAAAATATTCAGAAGTTAGAGTGTACATTTTGAAGTATCGATTATAAAGTGAAAAGAAGCCAAACATTTATCGTTATAAAAATCTTCTAAACAATTTGTCTTCGTTATATCATTATTATAGTAATCATTTGTTTCGTTTGTTATATCATATATACTCAATTATGAAATTTGTAAATTGAGAAGATGATGTCGCGATTTTTAAAAAGAAAGATTATGATATTGTGGATGTATTTGATGACCTAGAGTATTAAACACATACAACAACATTTGTCTTTTCTGTTTATATAGGGGGTGTTGATTAAGACAAATTATCTTTTTCACCTGCAATACAACATTATTATAGATGATGAATTTGGAACAAGGAAGGTCAGATTCAATATTCTTTATTTTATATCTTACAATTAAATGATGTACGTGATTGTTGTTGAATATTAGTCTTTGTGTTTGCACATAATTTTATTAATCATTAGCTTAAACATGAAATGAAGTTTAATTGTTCATTCTTGTCAAGGTGGAGTGAAGTTCAGAAAAAACGTTTATTAAACTCCGTTGCGTATAAAATCAAATGATAAACTCATAAAAAAGTAAGTAATCGATAGAGGGAAAGAGAAAATGACTTTTAATTTTTATTATTAAAGTTGCTATTGTGAACATTTGAATTCTAATCTAATATTATTACAGATTCTTGAAAAGTAACGGAATGAATCAGAAACTATGGTATATGTTTAACCTGTTCTAATCATAGAATTTTTTGCTTTGACAATGGCATATTTAGGGATGTTGTATTGATGATTATAGGAAGGAATATTTAATTGATATACTACTTCAAGATTTATTTATTCAAGAATTGTGATTACATGAATGTTTCAATTAATTTATCAAGTAATAATCTATCAATTAGTCATTATAAAATCGATAAATGCTGTAGCTGGTCGATGTTATTTATGTTATGAGAATACATTAGCAGAATGTTCAGGAAATTCTGATTTTCTGCAATGGTATACTGAACCATGTAATGGTCAATGTGTATTTTTTCAAGAGAATAATACGGTTGTTAGAGGATGTTCATGGACATATGGACATATGTCAAAGAAAATTGGTTGGCATCAATTAAATAAAGAAACAACGGCCTATTTTTGTGATTCTAATTTGTGTAATAGTGGTACCTACGCCGAATTATTAACCAAACGATTTTTATCGGAAAACCCATCATTAGTAGAAAATAACAACAATAATATTCAGTTTGATATTAATCCTGGTAAGTTGCATGGATAAAAGATGTAGAATATATACCCGTTTGTTCCGACAAACATTAATTAGGGGAAAATTCTTTGATTCGGAGAAATTTTTCAGAAAAATTTTAGCAAAAACTGCAGAAGAAAATATTCTGACACTAATGAGAAATTTTTTCGAAATTTTTAATTCGTACGAGTAAATTCTGAACCTCTGAGACATTCTTTGCTATTTTCAATCAATATTTCACTTTTATTAGGCGCAATTCAAAGTCGTAAAGTAAAGATGTGTTATACATGCACTGCTGATATGCCAGGTTGTGGAGAATTTATGAATGTTCAAAATTTGAAAGTAAATGTTGAACCATGTAGTTCAAGTTGTGTCATATTTCGAAATCCGTTGGATAATAATCGTACGTTGATAAGATTTTTCGCTGAGAAAAATAACAAAATGTTATTATTTTTCTTTAGTTTTACATCGTGGATGTGCAACAAAATGGTCATATATTCAAGCAAAAAATGGTTTTCATAAATTTTTAGGAACAGATGCATTTTTTTGCGAGGAATCTTTGTAAGAACATCGATATGTTATCTAATAATGAAATATTTTGTTACTGCTGTTTCTTTCAGATGCAATGGAATTAGCTTCGATTTCATGATGGGTAATAAAATATTTTTAACAGTATCCTTTCCTTCCTCAAGTTTTTTGAAGAACGGCTTAGTGAAGCTTTTTAGCACAAATAGATCTAAACGTGCTAGAGAAAAGATCAGCTGAAAAAGTACTCTTTCATCTTCTATAGTTTTCGTTTTCTAGAGATTATCGCCGCGAAAAACGAATCTCTGTCGGCGTAAGATTTCACTTCTAAGGACTTAATCTGTAAGGTCGAATTTTTTACCACAACTAGAACAATCATAATACAGGATCTATTTTTTATAAATCCCTTTTTGTTATGGCTGAGCTAGTCAAAATACAAACTACTATACCGAAAACCCACTACTTTTTTTTAACTAAGTTTATTGAAATGCTTGTCTGATGAGAACCAACCGATATTTCTGAAGTACAAAATATTATATTCGAACTAGTTGTGGTAAAAATTTCGATCAAGTCCTTGAGGTTAAAATACTGCTCCGACGAAAAGTTCGTGATAGAAACATTTTTGAGCATCGGAATGACTCCTCATTTGAAGAGGATACTCGATTCTATATACAGCCATGACAAAATCAGTTTTTTTTGTGCTCTGAAAGGGAAGAGTTTGTTATGCACAACGAAAGATTTATTCTAACGGTCATGGTTTCAAAAATCGTTGTCTATTATGTTACAGGTATTTTTCAAAACAAACCTCAAATCATGTTCACATTTCCACCAATTTATCCTACGTCAACTACAACCGAACAACCAGTAATTTCTGTTCCAGATGATGAAACTGAAATTAATGAGAATGAAAACAATTGGACTACTAATAATATCGATCAGATCGATGCACCTTTAGAACATTTTTTTACACAACAAACTACGAATACCTCTATAATTCCTGTGACAACGACTACCATTATTAGTTCTACAGCTTCAGAAGATCAATTTGAACCAAAATTAACATGGTGGGATAGAGAGAGTGAAGAAATTAAGGAAGTAGGCGATAATACCTATTATTACTATCAAATAAACAATTTTAACAATAATCAAACAATTTTTAACGACGTTGATCTATTGAATCCATCGAATAATCAAATAATACCGATAATAAACGATAATAGTTCAACATTGGAAACAGTTGTCAGCAAACTTCAAGACAGTGTTGAGGATGATGATGATGGAGATTGGTCACTTTTTACCACAAGTACACCAAAGTCCTTAACAGCTCAATTTGGACATTTATTAGAAATTGATGAAATAAAAAATAATAGTGATGGAAACGTCTTTATTCTTTATGACGATAATGATCCATATTACAATCTATCAAATGTGGATGAGGAAGAAAATGAGCTATCTATTGTTCTATCAACAACCACTCCACTTGATACGTTAAGTCACTTTGACAATGTATCCACCACTACTCCCATCGATATTATGAGCCTATCTAAAGACAGTACTAAACAAGACATAGATCCATTTGAATTTACAAATGTAATACCTGAAGAAAACGAGCAAAAACAATCGTCGCTAAATTATCCAAACTTTTTATGGATGTTAAGTTTAGCAAATCATTCTTCATTATTATCAAATAATACTCTTTCACGTGATCCAAAAGGAAAAATTCAATCTAATCTGCGTAATCAACGACATCGTTTATCAACCACCACGACCGTTCCACCGAAACAATTTTATCCAACATTAAAATGGCTTAATATAAAGCCACCCATTGTACTTAGTTCGGAGTTAAAAAATAAAACTAAAAAGAATAATCAACAATCAACATCGACTACTATTAAAACCAAATATCATTTTCGCTCAACCACTCAAAAAACTCAAACAACAAAAAAAAAATATCATTATTGTGAAAATAAATCCTGTTTGCACGAAGGAAAACTGAATGCTGATTGTCTATGTCTTTGTTTGCCTGCTTATGGTGGAGAAAATTGTGAAATTAGTAAGTATTACTCTCATATATGATACACTTTCGTAAATTCAATAAAAAGTGTAAACTTTCAATTTTCCTTATTTTTAATATCTCTTTGCTTTTTCAGTTCATTGTGAAGAGCAGCCGACCGAATGTGATTTTGTTTTGTCTCAAGAATGTAAAAACGATTATATAAAATATTTATGTCCAAGCTTTTGTAAACTCAGCATTTGTCATGAAAACCAAAAGAGATTAATGTATTGAAAAGCGAAGTGAAAGAAACATCGTATTTTTTTATAAAACTAATTTTTTTAGAATGAAAATGTTTTTTACAAATAAAATTAAACAACGTTAAAAGAAATAAATTCTTATTTATTTACTCACGATAAAAATATGATAATTGTACAAAAAATATCATTTTGTAGATAAGACTAACTTTATTATAGATTTCAAAACATCAGTACAAGTTACAAATCTCTTTTATCTTCTGTTTTTTGATTAACAAATGACTAGTGCCATCTTTTGAAAATGTAATAGTGCATTGAAATTTATTTGTATTTTTATTGGTTTAAAACGATGCAATATGTGATATACGGATTGTTTTGAAGTATAAATTTGCACGACAGTGCTGTATCGATGTTTTAGGCGTATGTACGTTGCAAGATTGCTTTAAAATTGTGAAAAACATTTTTATTTTTTAATCTAAATGAAGAGCGTACGTATTTCGAATGAAAACTCTTCATTTCTTTTCTTAAAGGTTTTTATCTAATCGGTTTTCAGAATCATAGTTCAACTAAATCTGATCCGAGAAAACGAGCTCGTACGACAAGTGGTGACACTCATGACTTTGACAATGATCAACCAAAGTCAAAAAGTTTGTATTTTAATTTTAAGAGTTTGCGACAATAATAAAAATAATATCTCTTTGTTCCGTAGTAAAAAAAAGACCTTTTGTTAGTTTAGAAAAACTCCGAAGATCCGTTTGCAAGATCCGCACTCAATGTGACTGTGGGGGCGTAGAAAGGCGATGAAGTAAATTTCTTCTAATAAGCGAAATCATCTAATAAAAAGATAGTTTAGCTTTTGCTTTTCTTTAGCTCAGATTTTGTTTTTATAGCATTAAAACTACTGATATAGAATTAGTTTGCATTTTACTTTCTAATCACATTTTCGTTTGTTTTTCTTTGATTGTTTCAGAAGTGTTTTCCGATGGTTTGGATGAATCTCTGATTGGTGACGCAGCCGATCGTAATTGGTTAACAACACTATCCGAACGAGAACGGGAAGCAGAATTAGCAAAACGGCATGAACAAAGAGAAATACTAAACAGAAGGTGAGAGACAAAGACCATACTCAATTTTTTACTTTTATCAACAAAATGAGTTTTCTGCTTGCATTATCGAAAGAAGAGTTAAACCTAAGGAAAAAAGAAATTAAATAATTCATATTGGACTATTTTGTTATTTTAGAGAAGAAATTAGTAAACGTTTAAAATTAAAAGCTGGAGATACAAATGTAATTAGTGAAGAAGAGGGAGAAATCGAAGACGATGAAGATACACAAAATAATGATGGCGAAGATGGTGAAAACTTATCTGATGAACGACGAAGTAAACATTCAGATTATCGTCGAAGAAATGAAGATAACACTCATGACGATAGTTCTAATTCGAGTACTGAGGATACTCGCACTAAATCCACATTAAAATCTTATGATAAAAAACCGATAGCAATGAACGATGATATTTACGCTGATGATGAAGATGATCGACCAACAAATAGACGTCTAGTAAATATAACAAAACAAAAAGAAACACAGCATCGTAAATTGTTACAACGTTTACAAGAAGATCGAGAACGAAAAAGAAAAAACGGTAGTGGAATAAATGGGAAAAGAATAAAATGAAAAAACTTTGATTTCAACTTTTTCTAGAAGAAAAATTGAAAAATCCATCATCAAAATCAAATGTATACTTGAGTGATTCAAGTGATAATGAAGAAGAAGGTGAGTTTTCAAAGGTAATAATTTAAGTGGAAGACGATTTAATTGTTATTTGCCTATCTTTAGGTCGAAATGAAAACAAAAAAAGTGGTGTGATATTGAAAGCAAATGAAGTTTTTTCAAGTTCAGATGAAGACAATGATGACGCTCGTTCAGATGATGAGAGAAAAAATAATCGTCTCCGTCGAAGGTTTGTTTAGTTTGTGATACACAATGAAAATTTTCTAATTTTATTCACTTTGTAGATCTCGAAGTAGTAGTGAAACAGAAACATTAGAAAAAGAATCAAAACGAAAACGTTCAACGTTTATTAGTACCGCAGAAGATTTAACCAAAATGAAATTATCAAGATTTAAGATGGAGAAGTAAGATATCGAATCGAACGTGATAGTAGCACAATTGCTAGTGTCTTTTATTTAGATGGTGTCATGCTCCATTTTTTCCCGCTGTAGCTAGAGGAGCATTTGTTCGAATCAATATTGGACAAAATGCTGGTAATCCAGTTTATCGTGTATGTACGCTTTCACAATCTACTATAAATTTCTCGGTTATTTTACAAATTTATTGTTTGATATTTTTAGATTGGTGAAATTCTTGATGTTGTCGAAACAGCAAAAGTTTATCAACTTGGAAATACGCGAACAAACAAAGGACTTCGATTAAAGTAAATACAAATGTTATATGAGCATATGGAGATAATATACTCACTCTATTCCTTGTATTAAAACAGCACCATAGTCGAGAAAGGAAAAACCTACAGTTTATTTAAGCCATTGACTCTTTACTTCTTTAAATTTCAACAAAATATCACAAGCTAGTTGTTTGACTTGTTTGTAGACTTTTTTTATGCTTAATCGTTCTTACTGTTTTCATTGTTTCTCTTTGCTTAAGGCATGGATCAAACGAACGTGTATTTCGGCTTGAATACGTCTCGAACAGTCAAATAAGTGATCAAGAGTTCAAACGATGGCGTGAAACATTAATTAAACAGGTAAATAACCATTTATACTGCAGAGATACGATTCTAAATCCTAGTATACTAGAAAAATAGCTATGACGATTATGAGTGATTCTCATCTTCTTTCTAGGGTATAAAGTTGCCAACAATGGAAGATGTTGAAAATAAACAGAAAACGATTCAAAAATATAATAATTATTCACTTAACGAAAAAGATATTGATAAAATGGTCCAAGAAAAGCAACGTTTCCGTAAAACACCAATTAATTATGCGGTTAAAAAATCATTATTATTAAAAGATAAAGTAAGTGTGATTGTGAATTTATTCATTTTTTTCCCATTCTTTTAGCTGAGACGAAATAAAAGATAGTTTTATCGTAGATTCAATGCGATATATATATCACCTGTTTCTTTTGTTGAGTAATTGTGAGATAATTCTAAAGAGATAGTAAAATTGGTTATTTGAAACCAAGTAAATATTTACTTTGTGATGAACAAGAGTGGTCTATTTGTCCTTCCCTTCTCATTTATGCTCGTATAACTAAGGCGTATAAAACAATGCACAATGCTCTGTTTAAGAAATATGCTTATTACTATTATTCATTGTGGTTTTTCTATTCTAGGAGATGGCAAAAGATGACAATAATATCGAATTAGTAAATAAAATAGAAAAAGACATACGTGAAATAGAAGAACGTGCTTCTGAACTGGACAAAAAAAGAAGTGAAAGCATATCAGTTATTAGGTAAGCTTGAAATAAAGTTTGTTTACTTTAAAAACTAGCATCATTCAAGAGCATTTTTTTTTATAATTAGTTTTCCGAAACGAAAGAATTATTTTTTCAGTCTTTCAGGAAATTCTTAAAAAAACATTCTTAAAAATCTTTGATACCAATGAATACAATATAAATTTTGATAGTAGATACTCTGAACTATTCAATCATGTACAAATTACAATATTGTGTTGTCATGAAAAACCAGCATTTTTAGCAATGAAAACTTTTGCAGATCTAAATTTCAAAAAAAGCCCTGTTTAATGTTTTCAATTGAATTAGTTAGAAGAATAAAGAATTTGTCTAATGATTATTGTCAGTGTCACGTTATACAACAACAAGAGCGTTAAATATACGAGACCTTGTTGATCATTATATTATGTAGTTTATAAATTGACATATAACAATAGAAATAGACTTTTTTTGTGTAATGACTATGTAATAAATCATGGATAGTCTTTTTTATTTTTATCTTGACCTGTTGTTTTCATAAAATCAATTGACGAGTATGAAAATTGAAAGAAATATAAGAATGATAAAAAGCAAATAGAAGAGAACGAAAGAAAATAGATGACTATGTAACATCAGAGAGTAAAGAATAAGAAAAAAAAAATAGATGAAAATATGTTTCTCCTCTTATTATTGAAAATCATTTTCAAATATGTTTCAGATTGTCTTTAATCATTATTCATTCTTTCCTATCAGTAGTATTGTTTAATATATCCATTAAAAAATAAAATACGCTAATCTTAAAATGGAAAGTTCAGTTCGTTGACTTGAAAATAAAATGTTATCATCAATTATTTGTCATCTAAACAATAACACGACGTATCATATTTAAATTCATATTCTATATTACAATGAGTAGCTAAAAAAGTAAATATTTTAGATAAATAGTACTTTGAAAATCTTCTCATTTGATAATAACTCATATCGATTAGTTATTGAGATGGATCTTAGCAAATTTTAAATTTCATCTTTTCTACTTTAGACAAGCAAATTAGTGACGGACCAGTACAAAGAGTATGCCTAATCATTTTATAGCAGTGATTTTATAAAATCTTTTGTAGTACAAAGATCTAGATTCTAATCAATAATTTTAACTGATTGCTAAAATCAAAGAAAAAATATCTTCAACAGAATAATAGAATGAAAAAATATGTAGTAGAACCTGGAAAATATTGAATGAGCTCAATATGATCAAAAATATCTTTTTAATATACACTTTTTTCTTTCTTTTTAGTCAAATTAATCAAAAAAATCGACGAACTACTCAAAAAAATGTTGAATTAGCATTAATTGTAAGTTGTCGAAATTTTTTCCTTATAATGTAAAAATATTTTTTGTTTTTTGTTTTTGTTTTTATTAGAGAGAAGCTCAAGAACATCGTAATGCAGCGCCCGATCCGTTTACTCGACGTCGTTGTGAACCGATATTAGTTACAAAAGTAAAGTTTAAATGAAAAATTGATTTCTTGATGATATAGTGTTTGTTCATTTTAAGGCTCCTCCAACAAAAGTTAATTTAATTCGAGAATTACAAGAACGACGAGCAGCGGATGAATTACGAAAAAAATTAGAAGAAAAACGATTAGTAAAAAAATTAATTAATAATTAATTTTTATTAATTTCTCTTCTTCTCTCATTTTTCTTTTAGGCTGATGAAAAAGCTGCTGTACAAATGGCATCGACGTTGAATTTACATGAAAATGATCTAAATATGACAACAATCAATTCTACAACTACCACGACTACAACAACCATTAAAGGAGTGGTAAGATTTGTGTAATTTGACTAAAATTGACTCTTTAACATAAATTTTGACTAGAATATGTCTATATTTCATCTTTATTGTATTTTCTAGATACCACAAAAGAGTTCCTCAACATTAATTGAACGTGGCTCATTTACATCGTCGTTCAATGATAATAACAATGATGATATATTTGCTTCACATGATTTTGAACTGGATTTTACGATTAAAGTTCAACAAGATTAAACTAATTATTCATCTAGATATGTGTATTTATATTAGTGCGTGCGCGCGAATGCCTGAATTTTTTTTCTTGTTTTTGTTTTTTTTAAATATGTATTTGCTCTCAAAACAACCATTTCTTTACAAAACGACAACAAATGTTAGTGGACCCTTCCTCTTTCTCGCATTCTCTACGGTTTTTCAATAAATTTCTTTTTTCTTGTTGTTGTAAAATAAATAGAGATATCTATCTATGTGTGCGCGTGAAAAAAAAAAACAAAATAAAGAAACTTTCTATAAAAGTCATTTTATCTTTGCTGTTGTATGTAAAGAAAAATATCTGCTCTGTATTTATCTTTAAAGTATCTTGTAGAACTAAATGACTTAAGTAGATAGAAAAAAGAGATTTACTTATTCATATCGTCATCTAAAGTTTGACTATCCTCAGCTTTATTAGGATCTAATGATATTTTTTTTCCATATATTATAAACTCACAATTCGCGTTTTCAGAATATGTTCTTAAGTAACAAATTTTTCTAAGATAATAGTTAGTCATAGTAAAAATAAAGTGATGTGAAAATAATCTTAAATGCCTCTATGTAGATTCTCTCTTTTGTTACATATACAGTTTGTTGTACAGAAAGAATATGCTTCTTTTTTTTTTTATAAGATTGATATAATAGTGTTCTAGCAACAGCTTTCTATTGGTTGATTATATGAGACCAATAAAAAGTTAGTAGGTATTTTTCAAGAGTGTATTGTCCCAAAACATCACTATTCATAGGAAATAAGAAATATTATGGTAAAACTATAACATCATCATCGTATTGAAAATTGAACTTTGATATGATGACTCGACATTTTTGCCGTCACGTTTTATAGTTCTACTATCATTTTTTTTAACGGTGCATTGTGTACACTATTGTTTTAAGAATAGATGAGAATTTCAGTATAAGATGTACGTTAGAATAAAATATTTTTAATTTTCCCTATTTGATTTTCTGACTTTGTCTAATTAACTGATGTTCTATGATTGATAGTTATAAATAGCTTGCAATGAAAGAAAGAGTTTTGTCTCTCATATTCTCTTAACCACAAAGGTTAGCCACTTTTTTTGCTCTCTGAAATGAGTATATATTACACCCCATTCTTATTCTTAATTTATCATTAGTCTAATTGCCCGTTATCGAATTCGATTTAGTATAATAAATTATTAACTTGTATATTTTTTAGATTAGCTATTTATTATGGAATATTCTACTCATGTATTAGTTCAACAAGTACCGCTAAGTGAACAGAATTTTGAAACAAAGTAAGTATATCAAACAAGTATCATCATATTCATGTTAATAATTTCTTATTCTTATTTAGACTACAAGAAGTATCTGATCAAATAACATCAAATGGTTATTCTTGTCCAACTGTATTTACTCCATTAAATAGTGTCGTTGTACAACAAGCAGTCATATCTGCCAGTCATATTGGATTTCTATTACAAGTAAGTTTTGAATTCAGATACAATTTGTGTTTTAAGAGAGTTGTCTATTTTCTTTTATCAATGATAAAAAAGTATTATGATTATGTATGACAGTTATTTTATAAGAATTTTAGGTATACTTTTCAGGGAACTTATTTTATATAATCTATTTTTGACTATCCTTTGTTTCAGAACATTAATTTCTGTATTGAGAGTAAATTAATAATGATCTAGTGCGTTTCTATACCCTAAATGTAAGAGAACTCCAAAAGATACTCTGTATTATCTTAATTTCTTGAAGATGATTTTTGTTTTACATGATTTATTTTGATTGTTTTTCTTCTAATTAAAAGTCCAAATGAGTGCATTGCATTTTTTTCTTTAGGATGGGCGAATTTGTCGTGTTTCTTACCGTGTATTGGCAGATAAAATTGAACCAATACCACCAGAAACTACAAAGAGGTTTGTCACTCTTATTACCTTTATTCAGATGTCATATATTAATTTATTTTTCTATTTAGTAAACCAAAAATTATTCAGCCTACTCGTCCACAATCACGTACATCGATTAGACCTAGTTTTGAGAGACCAAGTTTTGAAAATTTAGTTTTATCATCTTCAGCTGCCGCTGCTCAAGCTGCAAATGTTACCGGTGGTACAACAAATTCGACAGCAGGACAGTCAGATATCATGCCACAATTACAGGCTGGATATCCATTGAGTCGACCAAGACATCATCTCATTCGAACTGCACGTGGACGTACAGGAATTATATTCGGTTCAAGACCTTTAATACCTGCATCAAGTGTACCAGAAGAATTAATTGAACAAGTAAATGATCTATTTTACTGATAATATCAATCTCATCAATAATAATCTTATTTGTGTAGGTTCAAGTTGTTTTACAAGGAAAATCTCGAAACGTTATTATTCGAGAATTACAAAGAACGGTATATACTTGTATACTATTTCTATTGCTAATTTAATACTGTTTGAATCTTCTTTTGTAGAATCTTGATGTAAATATGGCTGTAAATAATTTATTAGCACGAGATGATGAGGGAGATGAAGATCTCGATGATGATTATGTTGGTGGTGAGTATACTTTTGCCTGAAGTTATACTCATTTATTTGATAGTTTTTTGGAAAAATAAATTCATAAACTCTTTTTATTTGCATTTTTTAATCAACTGTTTCAAATTCATGATCACTTGTTGTTCTTTTCTCTTCAAATAGCTGATTTAATTTCCTTACTTGATGTTAATCCACATGGTGAATCCGGTATTATATTGGAATCAGAATTTTTTGACGAAGCAGATTTTGCATTACGGTATAGTAATATACAACGACGAGTATCAGCAAGAATAGGCAGTGGGGGTAAGTAATCTATTGATGGATTAAAAGATGAAAAGACATTTAACTTTATTAATTCTGTTTTTTTCAGGTAGTTCTGGGGCTAATGCAGCTACCGCTGTGGATAATAATTCCGGTTCATTAACGTCTTCGACAAATCCACCGACAGGTGTTGCTTCAGCACCGTCGTCTACTTCAAATCCGCTGGGTGAACGAGAACGTAAACGCAATCGCTACGATCCGCGTTGGTTAGACGGTTCATTACGTGAAGAATTATTTGGTAGAATTGAACGTGAATTAAAACCAGACGATCTTTCAATTGTTAAAGAACAAACAACAAATGTTCCTATTCCATCTAAAACAACGAAACAACAGCAAACACCACAGTCACATCATCATCACTCTCATTCTCATCATTATAGTCAACACTCATCGACAGCTTCAATTCAGCAGCAACATCAATCTATCAATCATTCATTAAATTCTGTTCAACAATCAAATCCAATTATATTTGGAGATCAATTACAATATTGGACTGATGGAGATAATAATTATCCTCGTTTTACTCATATTGCTTGTCTTTATTCAGAATTAATTGCAATAAATACAGCAGGTATGAAATTTGATATTTGTTATTGACTTAAAATATCATTTCATTTACTCATATTTTTATTCCAATAGGTCAATTATGTCAATGGCGTTGGATCGATGATTATCCTTATCAAGATCCCGATAATTCTCAAATAAAACATCCGAAAACCTCTATGTTATTGTTAACGAATGAAAAACTAATCTCACTATCTGGAAATATAATTCGTGCATCAGTATTAACAGACACAAATAAAATTGCTACATGGATTGATGAAACACTTGGACAGCAAGTGAGCGTTAAATTACAACATCAAGCTCAAGAACTACCATTTTCGAGTCAACAACAAGTAATTGACGTTCAAACATCATCATTATTTACCGTTATTCGTACAGATTTAAATGAAATGTATTGGTACGGTATATTACCAACCAAACAACGTAAAAAATTATTAGAACGAATTAAAGATAAAACAAGAAAAAGTCGTTCGACCAATCTACATTCTCATCATCATTCATCATCATCGTCTCAACAATTGACACAAGGTTGTTCAGTTTGTTTAATATCAAACCCATATTATAATCAAGGAGCATGGGGATTCTATATTAAAGATGGGCAACCGAAATTTGGTCAACTAATGGAACAAGCGTATGTATTCATTTTTTGGTTAATATCAAATTACTAACGTTTTTTTTTGAATATTTAGATGGGTATTGACAAATACAGCCAGATTCAGAATTAAAACGCCCGAATCGTTTGCAACAAGTTCGTCGTTAGCAGCTGCTGCCGCACGTTTAACGGATAGTGATAAAAGTCAAGTCGAAATGCCACCTCCTCCATCGCCCGCATCTTCCACATGTAGTGTTGATTCATCAGCCAGTTTTGGTGGCTTAAGTATGTTTTATTCTAGAATTGTATTTTTAAGTAGTCATATATTCAGTAGAGAAATGATCATTTTTGAACATTATTGTTTATCAGTAAAATAACTATAATATTTTCTAGATTAGAGAAATATAATCTTTTTAATTTTTATTAAAAATTACAATCAACTTTATTGTTTGTGTTTGCAGAACGAAAAAAACAAAGTGCTTCAGCAAATGCTGCAGCATCTCAAACAACATCGACTCAAGCACTAATTGGAAATGTGACATCGAATACTACTTCGGCATTAACAACATTAATTGATAGTAGTAGTAGCGATGACCATCATAGTAAAATAAAAGATGAAGAATATTGGCCTATCGAAGAAGTTGTGTTTATCGAAGATTGTAAAGTAGCTCCAATTGGTAAAGTAATGAAAATTGATGGATCACTTGTACTCGTACGATTTCCATCTAAAACTACCACTCATCATACACAAAATACAAATGATATGTCAATGGATACAACAAATACAAACGAATTAGATAACTGTCGCTTGTTAAGAAAAGATGATTTACAAGTAAGAGTGTACAAAAACATATTGTATCTTTTATCTTATATCTATATGTATTATATTTTATTTTAGATTGTCAAAGGAAATATGACTCCGAAAACACCTGATTGTTCATTATCTATAGCAAATATAAAAAGAATATCACTTGAAAATGGTACATTATTGACATTTTCCGTCGACAAAGATTGTAAGTATACTAAACTTTTATCAGAAAATTTTTATTTGGGATCTATACCACAGTTGGCTCATTTTCTTTAGATTAAATTATTTTTTGTTAATATTATTAATTTATTTTTGAATTTAGATTTACATACATTGCAATTACGTCAATCAACTGTTTATTATATACAATATGAAATTGGCAGTAACAATGGACTATGTCGGAGTATTCGTCAAAATTTTTTACCGTCTATAACGAGTCGTCAATCTTTATCATCATTTCTTGCTAGTAATACAACAGATTTATCAAATACCGTTTCTCCTTCGTCACCTCGTTTATATACATTGAATGCGAATGAAATTCCGCGCGTACTACTCGATAGTAATAAAACATTTTATCCTATAGTCTATAATCAAGATTTAACAAATATCAAAGATCCACAATGGAAAAACTTGTTGCCATTAAACTATTTTCAACAACAAATTGTACCAATTAAGAATGCTGATCATTTACCCAAAAATTATATTGTTTTAAGTATAATGCAAATACAAAAAGGTCTATTGATACCGCATATATTAAGGTAAAAGAGAACTTCTCTCTCTGTGTATGTGTGTGTGTGTATGTGTAAATGAGTATTTTTGACGTTTGACGTTTTGTTCATTAAGGTACGATTACGATAAAATTCGTTCAATTCTTAATGAAATTGAAACAACAAAAAATAAAGATTTGTTAAAATTAATTTTAAATGAACGATTAGATGGCTGTCGAAATATATTCCATGCATGTGTTTCAATTTGCGCACCATTATCAAATAAAGATTATTCAACAGCTGATACATCTGATTTATTCCAATCTACTACAACTTCATCTACGGCACCTACTATTGCCTCTTATCCATGGAATCCAGTTACGAGTAGTAATGAAAATAATAGTAATTCAAAACGAATTACATTTGCCATTGATCTATTACATAATCAAACAACAAATACGTCAACAACTAATTCTTCAACAACAACTTCGAATAACGATCACAATTATCAAGGAACAAGAACAACAACAAATGAACGATCCGAAGTTAGCACGTGGCCACCACCACCCCCTCCACCACGAACAAATGAAACAGAAGATATTCAACAGCAATCATCTACGATTTCCACTCCGTCACAACAAGCGCAACCAGCAACAAATTTCTATAGAGTGAGATAAATTTAATATCAAGAAACTGTCTTTAATTCCAGATAATCCTCATTTACATTCTTATGAAAGACGGAGATTTCTAGCTGAAGAATAGTAATTTTCTATTAGTCCTGTCAAATTATTTACAAGAGTTTTCTCACATTTCAGAAATTTAAAAATGTTCATTCTAATCTAAATTTTGTTTTCTTTTCGTAGAGTTCATCAACCGGCAGTCATTCAAATAGTGGTGGTTCAGTATCACCGTCGAGTAATACAAACACAAGTACATTTTCGGCTAAATTTCAACAAATCCAATATTTACAACATCAATTTCAACAACATCAGGCCATTGCTGCACTAACAACATCGAATACGACCACAAATAGTGGATCAAGCGTCACCGTTCCGCCTCATTCGCCAGCACCATCGACAGCCACAAGTCCACAACCAGTATTTGCACCCGTCATATATGCACAAAATACCTCATCATGTAAGTATTCTCTTTTATTTGAACTTACTCTTTAAAATCGAAACCATTGTACATTGTTTAGATCCACCACCGATTGGTAGCCGGTCATCTCGTTCAACCAATATTAACAGTGAATACCAAATATGGTCGTCGGTGAAATATGATGAAAAAGAGCGTCGTTTGCGGTCAATTAAAATATTACGTCTACTATTAGATTCATCATTATTTCAAGAATATTTAATTGATTTATTGAGTTTTCGTAATGTTGAAGGATTAACACCATTCATGTCTGCTGTTAATTCACGTGCATATAACTGTGCCTTGATTCTGTTTGAATATGCATCGAAATTAGCCAAAGAAGAATGTTTGAATAAAAATACACAATCAAATGATGATGATCAAGAACAACATCAAAACTTACAATTCTTTCTTGACAACACATCTATATCACCACCATTATTTGAATCAGCAACAAATTGTCTGAGTAAGTATAAGAAAAAATGATGTAAAAATAATAGATTTATACGGATTAGATAGTGTATGAGAGAAAATTATATTTTCTATGAACGATGAATTAATAATATTTTGATTTATTTGAACTCATGCTCGATTTCATTTTTCTTTTTTAGATGTTCCAAATATAAATCATTCGGAATATCAATCGATATTAATGAGAATGATTTATCCATCTGATTGTACAAATTTCGATGATTCACCGTTGTATACTATTTGTACAAATGATACATGTTCATTTACCTGGACCGGTGAAGAGCACATAAATCAAGATATATTTGAATGTAAAACATGTGGTCTTCATGGTACACTGTGCTGTTGTACAGAATGTGCTCAAACATGTCACAAAGGTCACGATTGCCGTCTTAAACGAACATCACCGACCGCTTATTGTGATTGTTGGGAAGTATGTAAATGTAAATCATTGATTGGTGGTGAACAATTAAAACGCTTAGAACTATTAAAACTTTTACTAATGGAAACAAATTTAGTACAAATGAAAAATAACAGATATGAAAACATTTTACTTTATTTAACACAAACGGTTGGTAGACAAATTATCGAACAACAACAGTTTGGAAAGAATACACAATCTGCTCAACAGCAACAACTACAACAGAGTGCTCAACAAACAAAACAACAACGAGCAACAGGCGGAGCATCAACACAAACAAAAAAATTGGCACATACACAACAAGTGAATCCATCAGCGAACAGTACAAATAATCCTCCAACAGATAATAATGATAGTCAAGGACAGGCAACAAATAACGTACCTGATCATGATCTCGAACCACCCCAATTTTGTAAGTAGTAAAAAATATGTGAATATTAATTATAATATTCTTTTTTATTTTTGTTTTATCCAGGTCGTCGTGCATTAGAACTAATACTAGCTGACTGGTGTGGCGTTAAATCGATGTTACTATGTGGTTGTACAAGTGATGATCCAAGTACGAAAAAAGCGTCTGATCAACCACATTCGTCATCATCTTCGACATTATTATCATACAATAATGAAACATTATTTTCTTTGGAACAACAACAACAAACAACTCAATTAGATCGTTTTACTTATTTATTATTGTCAAAATGTAATATTAAGCAAGGTAGTACAATAATGACAAAATCTCAGCAACAATTACAAAATCAAAATGATATGATCGACATTCTATTGCAAACATTACTACGAGAAATGTCTAATCCTGTTAATAAACAATTAGCAAAATACGCTGCAGCTAGATTTGTAAGAAGTGTATTGAGATTATTTGTGACATTAAGCATTGAATCTCTACCAGACAAATCAGCGGGAACAACATTATCTACTACTGCTAATAGTAGCAATATTACTAGCGTAGGTGCAGGAATACGACGTTTTATCTCAGCAACAACTGTAAATGGAACAACAATAACAGCAACGGGAACAGGTACTTGTCATCCACAAATCCAAACAACATCATCGATGATAATTCAACATTGTAAAAGAATATTTCAAACATTAATTAAAATATCCATTAGAGAGTTGGCCAGTATGGCTGAAGCATTAATAGCACCGGTGAGATATGGATGTGCAAAACCAACGGCGCATTTTCAACTTGTTTCAACACACACAGATGCTATACAGGTAAAAAGCAAACAGTTTTCATTACATAAAAATATAATAGAGTTACTATCTTCCATGCTCATCACCGTTCATCTTAATTTCATTCTTGTGCACATCAAAATAGAGAGGTGTTTTTTTATAAATACATATGATGTTAGAATTACCATAAATTTTCAGCAAAATATTTTTGTCTTAGTATACACGAATAAAAATGACAGACACGTACTATCTCCAACTATACTCTCAAAACAATAGAGATAATATCGCGGAATATAGGGAGAAACAGGTTATCGTTACGACATGTAATTTCCAACATGATCGCTGGCATGTGTTTTCTTCACTATGTTCTAAATCACTCTGTCATGCTATGGATGGAAGCTAGTTTGCAGAGAATTTGGCTAAAACAAACACGGATAGTAGGAATTCATTAATTGAATTTTGGACAGGGAATGATCGTTATAGTCTAAGTACTTTTCATAATCGCAGAACTTTTTCGCATTAGAAACAATTTTAGTCGAAATCTTGTTTAATACTTGAATGCATTTTTTTAGTCATATATCGTAAATGGCCTCTAAGCTACACCGTTATCTGTGCATGTAACTTTCCTCTTTATGGCTTTTTCTCTTTTGACAATAGAACGTCGTTTCTAAACTTTATTTCAATATCTTTAAAGTAGGAAATAAAAATATCGCATTACTTCCAAGTCACCATTCACAGAATGCATAGCGTTTTACTTCATTCAACTATGGAGTATTTTTTTTCATGTTCAAAGAACATGAACTTAACTCCATTTTGAACATTCAACATATTTTGTTTTCTCTCAATAATTTGAAAACTGAATTTGAAAAAGTTGTGCGATCGATCCTTTTTTAGTCAAAATTGTTTACCACTAGTAAATAAGGTCTTCTTTTTGTATGAGATACCGATTTTGCCAAAGTTTTTAGATGATTGCATTCCGTTTCCTATCTTTTATTAACAATCATCTTATTGTCTTAGGGTTTGGAAGAAGTATTCAATGTTGATTCTCAATATTATCGTGCTTATCAAGAAAATAATTTGTCCAATATGAACGCCGTATCCACATCTAGTGGTGGAGGAGGTACAAATAATGTACGATGGTCGGCATCAACAATAGGTGTTGGATCAACTACAGTCACAACTGCCACTACCGGCACAGCATCACTTCCGACATCGAATGAAACACGGTAAAAGAAAAACTTGATTAGTAACAAATTAATTATCGCCCATAAATATACGACTATAAAAAAAAGCGTTGCAACATCAAGTAGAGGATGAATAGATACCTTGAATTTGAGTATATTTTTCTTTTAAATTTTTTCAATTCGTATCTGTTTAGGTCGCGTGAATTACGGCCAGGGGTTTCGAGTGATGAAAATTATACGGATATTGTTGAACAAGATTTAGACAATGATTTAGAGACGGGTGTTGGAACGGTAGATGATGATGATTCCGATACACAATCTCAACATGGTGGAACTGATCGAACAACAACTGGGACAGGTATCGGTGGAACACGTGATGGAGGTACAGGTGTTTTAAGTGACAATGAATCTGAAATGGAACTAGAATTATTAGCTGAATCCGATACGGACAATGAAAGTAACAGAAGTGCGAGATTATCAAATGCACAACGAACATCTGCAACGGCTGGAAGCGATCCTGGTATGGCTGTGTTTTCTGGTACGAGAGAAGTTTTATTTAAACACATACACTTAATACTAAAAGAAAAAAATACCCCGGCAAATAGCCTCGTTGGAAGTCATTTGAGGATGAGTAAAAGTATTCGTAGCAAAGTAGACATTGTCCATCACTCAAATTCTAATCGAAACTAAAGCGATCTTTTTTTGCTCATTACTCTTTGATGTACAAATAAATGCTTGTCATTAATAGCAGATGCAGTATTCTAGAGTAATGTCTATTTAGATGACGATAGTGGAGAATCGACAAATGATGATGCTGATAGCGTTCGAAGCGACAGTGTATTAGATGAAACAAGTCAACAAGAATTAATTTCATTTGATGATAATAGAGATCAAATGGGTAATACAGCAACAGTTGGCGATCGTTCTACAAGTCAACAACAACCTTCAACACTTGCAGGAATAACGGCAACGACAGTTCCGTCACCGGCTTATCAAACAAGTAATACAACTTCAACACGCCTGACAACAACTCGTACACAAGGTAAATATAAACTTACTTTAAAAGTATCTACAAATAATTTATACCGATTTCGCAATAGGTTCATTATTTGGTGAAACACATCCTCGCCGTCAAATTCAACCATCGAATACATCAACTAGTCAACAACAGCAAGCAGTCCAACAACAATCTCATCAACACCAGTCTCAACAACAACAACAACAACAAAACAGCTCTGTTTCATCTACAATCACAACAAATGCAATGTTAGCTCGAGCATTTGCAATTCTAGTTAAACAAATAACAGATCTTTTACTTAAATGGCCATCGTTTACAGTCACATCTGAAGCATTTTCTCCTTTATATCATGATATCATACCAGAAACACCCACAAAATCACAACCAAACACAGATCCAAACGATACTCTAGATGCTATTCAGGTGAGTATATATATATACATGGTTTTTGATAACTTGAATAAGTTAATACACTGGCATATACTCTTTATCACGCATACATTTTAAGCTTTGTTAATCTAAAAGTGTGAATGTCTATCGATTGAAATTTGTTGCAACATTTCTGTTATTGATGTTCGTATGGATGTTTTTTACACAATATGTTTTGATTTCAGGCTGAATTAGAACAACGATTATTACCAACGTGGCAATGGTTTTGTACAATAATGGATTCGTTTGAATCTCAAATAAGATTTGGAATATCGCTGAGTAATCTTAGTTCAAATGATACGGACACATCAATACAAGGAAATCGATTTTTAAGAACAACAGTTGAACGAGCAAAACTAGACACAAAAAAGAAAACAACAGCAAATCGTTTAACTACAAATCCACAAACAACAGGTTAGAGCTAATATGAATAAATAGTTGCTTTTATGTTATTCATCAATTCTCGATCACATCAAAGTATGGCACTAGGCTATCTTTCGGTAGATACTCACATATTAAATAAAGCATTGCACATTGTTTGATTTCCATTTTAGAACCTGTTATCAACAATCGCCGAGATTTTCTTAATTATTCATTATCATTAATGCGTATGCCTGAAAATGAACACGGTGATCAATTACCAATCCTCGATGTTCTCTCCTATAAACATATTGCCTACATATTCGACTCATTTATTTATTATCTAAGAGAGAGTCAAGAACACGATTCAACAACATTTAAAACTTTGCAACATGTAACATTATGGCGAGATATTAATGATCAAGATACAAGTGAACTAAATGCAGAAGATATGAGTACGTTTTAATGTTCTTTTTTGAGATGTCAATGAAGCCGATTCTAACTAAACTGATTTCTTTCTCAGTTCTAGGCGATAATCATACAGACATTCCAACAACACTACCTCGTGATCAATTTTTTCATCGTTCCGATTCAACACTTTGTCTTGGCTCATTAGCACCTGATCCATTTCATATACCAGTTGATGATTCATTGCCATTAGCTTGTCGTCCTCAGTTGTTACAGCCAACATGTCGCAAAGAAGATTTATTTGGAAGATTTTTATATGAGAATGCAGCTCAACGTTATGCACAATTACCAAGTCGACTTGGAATGTCGGATCGAGAACATTCAATACCAGATTTTATACAACCAAATTATGCAAAAGGATTTAAACGACAAAATCAAGATGGTATAGTTTCTATAAACATTCAACAGAAATTATTTGAGTAGTATAATAAATTTTTATTTCTTTTAGACATTGAAATGCAAAATGATAAAACGACAAAAACGCAACAACGAGATGATGATCGTAAGTGTTTAATATTTTGAAGCTATACTGAGAAATTTGAATTGTCAGTTTGAAGTCCAACTCTTTTTTATTATTAGGTATGGCTGTTGATGTTTTGCTCGATTTAAGTTCTGGTTTAAGTACAACTAATAAACAACAACATACTCCGACACCTAACAAGTTTGTTCAGTTTATTCATTATGACTGCGTCCATTCAATTTTATGTTCTATTCTAGACAATTGCCAACAGCGCCTGTGACAGCAACAACATCAACAACAACAACCAGAGCCCTTCCTACTGGTTCTTATGAATATCTAATGGCTAGATGGCGTTATAGTCTTGAATTGTTTGTAAAAATATTTATTGACGATGTTGGAGCTGAACCAGGATCAATTATTTATGAATCCGGTGGATTTCAAGCACGTGAACAACGTTTTAGACACGACATGGAACGTCTAAAAAATTTACACCAGAAAGATATTCGATTTGAATCGATGGAACGTGATCGTGCATTACTTATTTCAAAAACATTTCGCACGTTAAATTCTCATTATTATCGAAATCAAAATACAAATTCATCGTCGACAACGCCACCTTTAGCCGTGCAAAGAGTGAAAGTAACATTTAAAGATGAGCCAGGCGAAGGTAGTGGGGTGGCAAGAAGTTTTTATGCAGCTATTGTCGAGGTAAACAACTTTATATGAGTTAATATTTTTTAAATTCAATGGAATACAGCACAGAAATACTAAGTATTTTTATCTTCATTATTAAGGCTATATTGTCGGATGAAAAATTATCACATCTGGAACTTGGAACGTATGGTGGTTCGTCAGCTGCAGCTGTGGGTGCTGTTGCCTTATCAACAAATCCACGTCAACAACGCTCAAGAGAACGACGTACAATAGCAACCTATTTACGTCGTTCAATGTTACTGTCATCTGAAGCTCGTCCGTTCAAACCCGTTATGTCTCCATCAGTATCCCTAGGCTCACCAACTTCTGCAACAGCCGGAAATCCAGCAATAACCACTACTACAGATTCAACGAGCTCAAATGAATCTTCTGCTGATCACTGGACACCAAGTAAAACTAAAATTGGTTTAACCATTTATCCAAAAGTAGCTGCCATTCAACCGGTATGTTTGCTGGTTTTTTAAAAATATTGTTTGTAAAAGTAGTCAGAGATGGAAAGTTGAAGTTGTCAGAATTCGATGAAATTTCTATCTTATAATTAGTGTGTATTAAGAGCAGCAAATTAAGCTGTACAGTATTATTGTCAAAGAATTATCTAGATTTTCTTATACAAAAAACATTTTTTATTAATTTATTTGACGAAAGAAAATATAATCTTTCAAAAATGTCTAATTACTTTCTAGTAACTCAGTTATGGACAATCTATCTATCGTATCTATTTTAAACGAAAATATTCTCTCATAAAAATCAGGAATGTTTTTCTTAAGAAAAATTTGACTCGAACTATTACTATAAACCTTTTGACATATAGTTGATGTTGAACCAACATCTTAACGACGATAGTAGTGCATAAAATGTGCTTCTCGAAAAGATCTTTGATCTAAATCAAGGATAATCAAGGATACAGTACAACTTAACAATCAATTCTCTTGAAAAATGATAGCTATTTTTTTTTTTGAAAAGTTTTGGAAACATTCTTGTTGTTTTCAATACTCGATGATCATATGGTGCCTTCCAACAACTTGAACTTTCTATCTTTGTCCATTCTTATAAAAAATTGCTCGTCAAAATTTTCTACATTATGAATCGTTTCGTTTTAGTTTCACGCTGAAAAAATAACTGGTATGCTATTAGAAGGTTTACCAACATTACAACTACAACGGATAAGTTCAAGTTCAACGGATGATGATTTGAGAGTGAAAGTTGAAGAAGCCATGAATGTATTGACGTCACATAGTACAAGGTAACATTCTTCAAAGATTATTTAATAAGTTGAATATTTAAATTTTATTTATTTTAAATGTTTAGAGATGTTCAAACAGAATCAACATCATCATCATTAACTAGTAAACCGTCTCAACAACAACAACCTCTACCATCTCAACCGCAGCCACAACAAACAACATTCGATAAACAATTAGATGAATATGCACCATTATTTTGGCAACCGGATAAGAAAGGATTTTATGCACCAAGACCAGGAAAATATACAACAGAAAGATTAACTGCATATAGAAATGTTGGAAGGTAACCATTTAGTTAGTTAATTTTCAAAATGAAAATCAAGTTGATCACACACCAAATCCTATTTCGAAATATTGACTCATATGTTAGATAGTGATGGGTATTTTCATACGTTAAACCCTGAATATGTGAATAGTTTTTAGTTTATTCAATATATTTAAGTACTTAATAAAATGTTTTCTTCTTTTTATCCTTATATGTTTTCTTTTCTATTGTAGATTAATTGGTTTATGTTTACTTCAAAATGAATTACTTCCATTGCCAATGTGTCGTCATGTAATTAAATATATATTAAATCGTCGTATACGTTGGCATGATTTAGCCTTTTTCGATTCCTCTATATATGAAAATTTACGTCGTGCAGCATATGATGCTGAAAAAACGAATGGACAAAGTGTAAAAGATTTACACTTGACATTTTCTTTAACTTGTACAGATAAAGAAGTATGAAGAAAAATTGTTTTGTAACTAAAATAAACTATATAAACATTTTTTTTGTTCTCATTCATAGGGAGGTGAAACATATGATCTCATTCCTGATGGATCATCGAAAGATGTAACCTATTCCAATTTATATGATTTTATTAAACGTTATGCTGAATTTAGAATGGTTAAATTAGTTGAACAATCACTTCATGTAAGCAAGCATCCTCTATCTCAAATTATGACAGTCTTCATCAATACATTTTTTACACTACTTGATAGTATTGTTGTCGTGTTTTTACAGATGAATACGGATAATGTTTTGTATGTTTTTAGCACATTCGACTGGGTGTATTCGATGTATTACCTTCAAATGCCTTAGATGGTTTAAGTGCAGAAGATTTTCGTCTATTATTGAACGGAAGTGGAAATATAAATATAACAACATTAACGAATTATACAACATTTAATGATGAAAGTGGTATGTACTTGTTGGATAGTAAATAAATTTGATAGAAAACAAATGTTCTCCATTGTCTCTTATTTAGGTGAAGCTGGTGAGCGAATTACACAATTTAAAAAATGGTTTTGGTCTGTACTAGAAAAATTTGGCACAGTTGAAAAACAAGATCTGGTAAGAGATAAATTTGTTTCGTCGTCGACATATTTTGATTGCATTTTTAGTTAATCATTCCATACTAAAATATTTCTTTTGTTTAAGGTGTATTTTTGGACAGGTAGCCCAGCATTACCCGCATCTGAAGGTGGTTTTCAACCCATGCCGTCTGTGACAATTCGTCCAGCTGATGATCAACATTTACCAACAGCTAATACATGTATTAGTCGTTTATATGTTCCATTATATTCATCAAAAACAATATTAAAAACAAAATTACTTTATGCAATTAAAACAAAACAATTCGGCTTTGTATGATGTTCATTTATGTTTTTGTTTTTTTGTCAATCTGTTATTTAGGTACCACCACAGTATTTGTTTTTCTTTTATCCGTGCATGAGAAAAATGCCTAATTGAAAAATCTATTATGCTTCGATATATGTATGCATTTGCTTCTATTGAATATTTGTGAAAAGAAGGTCATTTCTTGTCCATATACAAGAAGTTAAATGCTTTATTTTTCATGTTACTGGTAAATTTTATGATCGTTTCTTTTTTTTTATTCATACACGTAGAACGCGTTGTATATAAAACAATCGTTTGCTAAATTTGTTCATTACTGTGTTTGCAGCAGGTTTTTTATTGTGTTATTGTGTAAAAGCATGTTCTTTGTCTTAGTACATTTGTTACAATTAAAACATAAAGAAAAAAAAAACGAAAGATCTAAAGTCTCTTGTTTGCTTATTTCAAAAGGTTCGATTGATATTGAGAATACCACTTAACTTCGTGTTATAAACAAACTTCCATTTTTCTTTTAAGCCATATCAAAATAATTCATACTATTTGTATCACATTTTTTCGAGTGCGTTTCGATTACAGAGCCGTTTATTGTCTAATTAGCGTCATAAAAAATAAAAGTTCTTCATATAATTACTGTGAGTGTATATAGAGGATCTACTCATATAATAAACTTCATTTATCTCTTCGAATTCCGTTTACTTCATTCGAGATGAAAGTAAAGTAAGAATACTATTTTGTGCAATTCGAAAAGATATGAAAATGAATAGTTTTACTTATAGCTAAACAAAAGTTAATGTTAAAAAATGATTGTCAAATACGTCATTGAACTTTTGATATACTATGTTAGAGAAAATACTTCTGGTATTTATTCTATATTTTAGATTTGACTACATGAATATACTATTCATCTGATTTGAAGAATGTTCAACGTAGAACTATTGTTTCATCGAGTGAAGAATGCATGATGCAGCGGACAATTTTTGACTTGTGATGTAGACGTTAGAAGCCTTTTGCGAATAGATCTTTTTATATGGATTATTATCACTCTTCAGTCATTCCCACAACCTTCTTATAAGCGAAAAATAAACGTTTTTAGAAAACATTAATCTTTTCAAACAATTACAGTAGTGTACAAAAACAAAAAATTTTTATTTCAAGACATATTGTTTTATACAAGGTTCGTTACGGTTTCATGCGCTGATTCTGAATAAACCATTTGTTTCCATTAAATATGGTTATTTTCTGCAGAACACTAGTTATTACATGAAAACGTTTGGATGTAATACAAAATATATAAAGTTTGAACTCGATTGAAAGCTGGAGAGAAGTAGGAAACTTATTATACTGAAGTGTTAGTTTTGGACAACTTTTTAGCTCGAAAAATACTTGTTTTCTCCTTGATTTTAAATTCAAACCGAAAAATTTTTTTACCATTTATCAACAGAAAGAGTGTAGATTTAGTGTACACGTCTTTTTAGCATACAAAACCGTCTCACTTAAATGAAAATAAAAATTTGATAATTTTTAGATGTTTTCTCAAACAACTTCTTCTAACATTTCGAATACGACAAAATATTTTTTTCACAAAAAACGATGTTCAAAGAGTCGAAGTTCATATTCTATTATCAGGAATTAAACAACAACAAACACTTTCATTTTTTGACGAGATATTCACACCATTGCCCCCCAATGTAAGGGTAGAATGATTTGATACCTATTCAGTGCATACATTCACACTTCGATAGTTTTTCCCTTGTCTGTAAATAATCTGTTAGCGTCAACAGATAAGTTTTCTAACCGATTTTATTTGTTAAACTTGGTTGTTACTACAACTATTATCGGTTATTATTTTTATAACTTATTAATAGAACAAGATGAAAACCTGCGGCTTCCAGTGTCTTGTACCTAGGACCTGACAGTACCTTCCTATGTATAAATCAATTCTATCAACGACGTCTACCACGATGTACCTGATCGATGTTTCAGAGACTAGATTGTCGCTCCCTAACTTTCCATACAAGTCTAATATTTGAAAATACGCCTAAAAGAGAGCGACATCTATTATACATATCTGCTAGCTCCCCGATAGCTCCATCTACGATCGTTCTGGCAGAAGTGGATGTTTCCTGAGACACCTCAGAATCGGACTTTCTTGATATTTAGAAATTTGAAAACGTATGGAAACATAGGTTATCCACCACACTGAATCTCATGGCAATGTTTGTTTTTCGAAAGGCTTCAGAAAAGTAGTGAAAACCTATACTTGACCGAATCATCTATTTTTCACTATTGTCGCCGAAAATTAAAAAGTTCATAACTCACTCACAATCGTTCCAGACTGCTTCAAAATACTAGCATATACTCCATTTTATCTGCTTAACCATATTTTGTAGGAAAAATTAGTACGAAACATTGCTTTATTCCCAAAGCTTTCTAGGAAGTCTTTCAAAAACCAAAGTACTTTGTATTCGTTTTTTGAAAGTATTATTGAAAGTCATGGCATAGCACAGATAAAATGGAGTATATGTTGGTATTTTGAAGCAGTCTGAAACGATTGTGAGTGAGTTATGAACTTTTTAATTTTCGGTGACAATAGTGAAAAATAGATGATTCGGTCAAGTATAGGTTTTCACTACTTTTCTGAAGCCTTTCGAAAAACAAACATTGCCATGAGATTCAGTGTGGTGGATAACCTATGTTTCCATGCGTTTTCAAATTTCTAAATATCAAGAAAGTCCGATTCTGAGGTGTCTCAGGAAACATCCACTTCTGCCAGAACGATCGTAGATGGAGCTATCGGGTTTTAGCAGATATGTATAATAGATGTCGCTCTCTTTTAGGCGTATTTTCAAACGTTAGACATTTGTAGAATTGATTTATACATAGGAAAGTACTGTCAAGTCCTAGGCACAAGACACTGAAAGGCGCAGGTCTTCATCTTGTTTCGTTAATAAGTTATAAAAAATGATCGCAGCCACTATTCGTTTGAACAGATAGTACAATCACTGCTATGTGTTTTCTAAAAAGTTCAGTTTAAAACAATTCTTTTGAATAAAACTAGGCATCCGATTTTTATGAGTCGACAATCGCACTATAGACTGTATCTCACGTAGAAATAAAACTATCTTTAAAACTTATCTTCTACCCTTAAGATATAGCACCGCCCTTAATATCGATATTAATTATTATTAATTTCTGCAATTATTGTGTATGTTTGTTTGATTTTAATTAGGTATGGGACGAATCGAACGGGCGCTCGTTGCTCGAGCGAAACAGATGAACCGCGCTCACATGTCATTTCTAATTTAAATAAATGTACTGAAATAAATGTACTGAAATGTACTGAAATGTACTGAATAGTTACGAAAAGCATTTTCTACAAACTTTTCTCTTTTAGATTAACGACAGTAGCACTGTCATAGTTCAAAGTATGAGATTAATTATTAGTTAAATCTTACGCTCACTAAATTTTAATAATGTGCAGTGTACACACGTTCGTGTAAAATGCGCTCGAGCGCTCGATTCTTTCCATACCTAATTTTAATTTATCTGGTCCGTTCGGATGTTTGGTCTACAAAAATCGTTGTTTATAACGTGAATCAATATAAACACCAGTGGTATGTTGATGAAAAATACTCTGCACAATATCAAATGAATTTTTATTTGAAAATTTGACTGGTGCTATGTCATGGTTAGGGAAATAATATTGATGATTTAATGTTTATTAGCTAATGTTAATCGATGAAGGAATATATTCAAGTTAAAATAATAGTTAAAAAGTCACAAACGATAATATGATTTATAAAATAGTATAGCAATAATTAAATAATTTTATCATCGTTTATGTCTTCCATTCGCCTGTGTCTTTTGATTGCTAAATTTATAATATTATTCACATATCAATTTTATTTTTGATAATTTGCTATATAATTCACTATTCTCGTAGTCATCTGGTTTCATATTGTTCAGTAATTTTAGATATAGTACAAAACTCGATGTCGAACGATCATCATCTTGCTTACAATATAATTGATGTATTAGGTATAAATGCATGATTATACTTTTGTTTTATGCAGTATAATAATACATCATTTTATCTCTAATTTAAGGTACAAGAAATGATGATGCTATTCAGAAAAGTGTTTATTTAATATCAGATAATTTAGATGTATCGAAAACAAAATATGTACTCAAAATTATTGATCTTGATAAAATGACAAATTTTACAAAATATATTGTAAGTAATACTCAAAAATGAATATAATCGTTTTTTCGATCTATATAATTTATTTTAGTATAATTTAGACAGGAATAGCTTGGTATCGTCAATTATCTCATACAAATTTGATGACAATGAAAAAATGTTTTATAATTGATTCAAAATTATATTTTGTTATACGTTATGCTCAATTTGGTATATTTTAGAATCTAACATCTAGTTATATTCTAATAAAATGACTTCTTATATATTTTGTCTTTTAGGATCATGTCGTAATATTCTACAGTTAAATCCATTCGGAATTAAAGAAAATCTCATTGGAATAATTATGTGGCAAGTTATTCAAGCTCTCTGCTATTTGAAAGATAAACACATCATGCATCGGTATGTGATCATATATTGAAATCAAAAGTATTATAGTCAGTGTTAAACATACACGAATTCTAAGAAAATACTTATAAAGATCGTTATTTTTCACTATAACAAGCTCCTAATTCAAATCAAGTTTAACTATAACAAAAATTCATTTTCGTCTCTTCTATTTATTAATAAAATTGAAACCCATTAAAATTGGTACAGATTGATTTTTGAAATTTGCAAGTTTTTATTTTAATTTAATTTTTACCAATTTGAACAGATTTTTCGGGTAATTTAACAGGATTCAATTCTATTGATAGAGAGAGATGAAAGTGGATTTTTCTTGATCTGAATCATTATCGTGAAAAATAACGATCTTTATAGGTGTTTGCTTGACATTGGTGCATGACGACTACTATCCATTTCAAAAAAGAAGGCCAGTCACTGTATGTCTAATAACTTTGCACTGGAAGATGTTGGAGACCTGCGGTTTTCGTTATCTGAAACTAAAATCTTGGGGCAACAAGAAAATAAGAGAAAAAGCTTTTTCGAGTACTTTCAGGTGGTGTACCTTGCGTGGACATTTTTGTAAGAGTTTTCCGGTCACTAAAAAATTTTCGGATTTTGAATTCCTACATGTCGAAAAGATCGCCCAACTCAAGTTCTACAAGTCTAGACTGGTTCCAGCTTGCTATCTCTCGTGGTTCAGGAGTTATAAAGGTTTTCCGCGGACATGCCTGTCTCTGTCCGGACGCGATGGGGAACCTGAAAAAGTGTTGAGACATAGGTAATCGAGTGTGCTGATTATCGTGGCAATGTCTGTTTTGGGTTAAAATGAAAGTCGAGGTCGGTAGGAGCTTATTTCCCCAAAACCGAGTTTTTCCTTATAGACCATAGAACTTCAAATTAATGTGATTCAGTCATTTTACATTCAAACTGGCTAGACGTCTAGGAATTCAAAATCCGAAAATGTTTTAGTGGCCGGAAAACTCTTACAAAAATGTCCACGCAAGGTACACCACCTGAAAGTACTCGAAAAAACTTTTTCTCTTATTTGCTTGTTGCCCCAAGATTTTAGTTTCAGATAACGAAAACCGCAGGTCTCCAACATCTTCCAGTGCAAAGTTATTAGACATACAATGGCTGGCCTTC